AGGTATTCCCAATAATCAGTTGAAACCGCTATTTATTACTCAAAAGAAGTGTATCAGGATTCTCTTTGGAGACTTTGAAGCCTATGTAGACAAGTTCAAGACATGTGCTAGAGCAAGACCAATTAATTCTCAACGTCTAGGATCTGAATTCTATGTTAAAGAGTCCACCAAACCTCTATTCACAAAACACGAACTACTTGCTATACAGATACCGTTGTTAAATGGAATTGTTTAAGATCATTAAGTCACGAGTACCAATTTCGTTATACTACCTATTCGGCTTATCAAATAGGAAAGATAATTTGTTAATCACGCCCTCTCCAACTAATCAATTTATGTACAAATCTGCATGGCTGTGGAACGAATTTCGTAAAGTTGGGCCGATGAATTTCACCTCCCCTTGCAGCTCTGTCAAGAATTTGCTTAAACAGTCACTTCTAAGAGCTCAAAACAGGTATGGAACTGATTGGTGTGACAAAAATTTCACTGAATTCTGAGTGAGAAGTGATACTTGCCTGTTATTCCCACTTACTGACTGATAATCTTATCTATGGATACCATGCTTGAATTTAGGTAAACAACATAGCACTTCCTCACCAGTCACGTTGAACGCGATCGCCGAATGATAAAACAATATGGGAGCGCGCACAGCATTGCGCGCTGATACTCTAAATACTGTGCGCGTTTCGTCCGGAACCTGGGGGAGTTCCCGCTCTAATATATCTGACGACAGTGATCACTCATTATGAGAACTAATCCCGACCACTTTCCCGGTCGAACCGTACCCAAATCAAACTAATTTATGAACCACGTGTATAGCCAACGTCCTTGCGGTGCTGAGCCGATGTAAAACTCTTCTGTCTCTTGTTAATATTTTAGTTGTACTGTGCATAAAAGTGTGTAGTGACAAGTGTGTAGTGGTAATGTATATTATTTATTATGACGACGCGATATCTATAACGCAGAATTAAAAGCTGCTTTCGATATGACTGGTGGTGGGCTCTCTCCGGCGGGACATAGATCTATATAGGGGGTACCCGGGGTACGAGTTAACGAACAGTGTTCGTGTCCTTCCACAACCCCCTGTTACCTGTGTTTCTGTCGGGGTAGCCTAATTCATCCGTTAGAATCGCAGAGTTAGCGGAGCTCATGATATCTCGCGACGTATGCTGCATGAACGGTGCAAGACTTGCGCCGTTTGTTTCAGCATCCAGTTGCGAGTGCTTGCCCATCGAAAACATGATTAGTGATTGTGGATTTTATTGATATTACTGATTATCCATCATATTCAGTATTAATGTTATCCATTATTTATTTATTGACATCCTTCAGTCTCCAAAACGAGGTGTGAAGGTAAATTAACTTTGAGCCTTGTTTTGGCGACTGCTTAATCGATGGGCAAGTAGGTATTTGTTTTTTAGCAGTGTTGAACATTGAAACAATTATAAAATGTTTATTTTTATCTTATATAACGTACAATATGAATGACATATGCTATAGTGACGTAACATATATAGTGCAAAGAATTAGTAACTTGCGAGATCTGATTTAGTGATAATCGACGTTAACATTTTGCAGTTTACAGTTGCACAATGTTGACGTCGATTGTTACTAACATTTATCTGAATTTAATACAAGTACATGTCACATATAAATTGGGTAGCTGAATGAAACTCGTGCCTCAAAATTTTCCGGTATTAGCATTGCAGTGTCCACGCCCTGTACTGCGTTAACGACCGAAATTTTCCCAATATGCAATTATTATTTTGCTTTTAAAATTCTCTGATAATTAATAATATATCGTGACATGTAATTGTAAGATAACAAACCTTGCGCGCGCGGCGCTTACATCTGCACCTGAGAATCTCTCAACAATGTGTGGCTGTCTGCGCGGCGGGCTGTGTATTGTGTATATAGCTGAATCTAAATTTAGATTTATTTGTAATTGTATAATAATATTAAATATGTATTGATTGTTTTGTGGTAAATAAAAATTTTGTTTTACTAAAAAAAAAAATTTTGTTTTACTTGGTCACTAAAGTTACTCTCGTCACCAACTGTCAACTCTACTAATATGTCCACCTTTCCTTTATCAGACCAGACTACAATATCAGGACGTTCTGCAGTTCCGTAGATGTGCTGGGGGAACTGTGCTGGGAGGTCATCTTCGTCCCAGATAATCTGTCAATCTTGGTCTTTCTCAAAAGGGCTCTCTCTTTTCATCTTCGTCTTTGGTTTTTGGTAACAGCTGCTAGATGACTTGAAGCCTGTCCAGTCCTGAACTTCAAGTTTAAAATATTTGTTGCTGAACTTCTCTATTTGATCCATTAGGGATTTTGCAATGACCCGCAGCACGTTGTCATGCCTCCAATTGTATCGTTTGTTGTTCAGCGAGAAGTTGCTAGCTACCAAAATGTGCTTAATGTTGCAGTGTTTCCATCCGCAAAGTGGACAGTGTCCTGTGTCAGCATAGTTCCAGATGTTGGACAACAATTACCATCGAATCTTCTCTTGTCCACTGTACCGCTGTTCCTACAGAGAAACCATTCAAGAGCACTCCACTAGTGACCAACCATGCTGGTCTATCTTAAGAGATGGTAGTGATGGCAGCATCACTGCCTTCCGATCTTTAGCACAGATCGCCATCGATGAACTATCATAGAATTGATACTTATACTTATTAGTGCTCCTTCACCTCCATCCCCCTTCATGTCCTACATCTCCTTATGACATCACTCCCCCTTCAGCCTCTACTACTCCTTTACTACTCCATCTACTGCCTCATCTTCTGGACATCATTATCTTCTAGTTTAGTTGAGAATTCTCAACACCCACTTCCAAGTCGAGTACTCTCGACCCACTTAGTCCACATACCTTGCAAACTTACAGCAGGGTATTTGTAATGGTCGAAGTCCCTAATACACGCCAAAGATGGTTCCTCTATACTCAACCGTAGGAGAAGAGAATTAGGTGACTGTATTTTGTTCTAATGTTGATATTAATATAAGTATGTTCTAGTTGTTACTCCTTTTGTTTTAACGTTTTTATGGTACTCTCCTTAAATTATTTCAATGCAGTCACTCAGATGATTTTTAAATCAGGACACTTAAATAAAGACACATACTCTGCCCACAATAAGGGGCCATAATTTTTAAATTATGTAACAGTATAGAATTATTATTATTATTATTCATAGTTCCACAGGCTCATGTTTGCTGGAGTATTTTCAACGTCATGGGTTGCATTGAGGTGGAACTTAAGAAGAGCAAGGCTCATCTTGTAGTTGTAAATAAGGTTGTTCCAACTTAGGTCTAGCTGCATGGTGTTTTCCCATGTTAAGAAAACACCATGCATATGATATAATTATAAGAATATAATAGTATGTCACACCTATTTAACTGTTATGTTTGAGTAGTCGTGCCATGGCTAAATCTAACTAGGACCAGTGGTGTTGATTAACATTTAATAGGTGAGTCTAAGTGAGTCTAAGTGAGTCTAAGTGAGTCTAAGTGATCCAAATGGAAAATTTTATGAAAAGACGGATCAAAACACAGATCCAAGGACAAGGAGACCCCACTGCAGGACCATACAATATACATTCTAGTGGCTAGTGCATGGCCCAAATGTCCAGGATGTCCAGGAAACTGTACGTAGCTGGTAAACTAGTTTTGAATTCAGACTAGGCTTGATGAGTTCTGGGGTTTCTAGAGGTAAGATTTGATGGTGCCAGGTTTGTTCAGGCGGACATGGAAATTATGCGAGGAATATTATATATTATATAGGTATATAAAAATCATATCTATGTAAAAATAGATCCAAAAATAAATCCAAAGATTCACACGGCAGTCAGGGAACTTCCAGACAGGATGCTTTTGAAACAGGTATAATTAGCGCTTTTGTAATTAATTGTGTGCAAGGGATGGGATGCTGATTGACTAAGCTGGTTCAATGCCCCAGCTATTTAGGGGGAGCCACTCAATTTCACGCCCAGGTGTTGCCAATTGCTGGGTTTCAAGTAAAAGCTTTTTGATACGGCTCTTGATAATTGAGATGGGGGAGGAAAGGTCGGAAAATTTAATAGAGCCAGGGACCATGACATTGTTTTCATTAGGAGTTTAAGCTGATTAGAGCTTATACTTATAGTTATAGTGAATGGAAATCTAGTGTCCACCAAAACGAAACAACGGGCCTAATTCTTGATTAGTAACATAATAATTGGTTCCCTTTATTCTTCCTAAATTATTCATAGTTCATTATAAGAAACATTTCTAAAAATAACATTCATTAACAAAACTTTTAGAAATGATATCTCTCTTAAATCCATCTAATTCAACTTTAAAATTTAAAACTGTTTTAGAGCTCTTGACATCCGGCGCAGAGGGAGCTCTGGAGATTTTTAACACTAGTACCCCTCTTACTACATCAGATTTACACGGTCAGATATGCCTATTCCAAATAGAACTGCTGAATAATCTGACAAACCGCTTTAAATAACCATGAAAGCTTTTAAAAGATTACCACGTACAGGCCACTCTGCCAGGGTTTTGTTTCATCGAAAATTGTATTGTTTCATTGATTCTTGGTAGCACTGAGAAGTACCTGCGTGTCTTGGCCATTCCAAGCAAAAGTTGAAACTTGTTTTTGTACATTTAAAGTGTACATATTATTGACATTTTCTTTACTTGTTTATTGTTCTCTGCTGATTGCATCACTATTATTGACATTTTCGTTGCTTGGTTATAATTGTGGTCTGCCAATTGCATCACTTGATTTAATTAAATGTATATTATATGCATTTAATTAATTATATATTATATTATATTATATTATATAATTATTATATTTAATATTATATCGTTTGACAATTTTTATATTCATTGTTGAGCATATGAATTGTTCACTAATTTCCGCTGCCTGTGTCACTTGATTCGATTGAATGTATCATTTTCTTTCAATCTTAAGCTTATTTCTGGTACTTTCTACTTTAATGGTACTTTCTCGTTTCTCTTTCAATCTTTATCATGTATTTGTAACATTAATAATTTTTCATGGATGTATATTTATTACTAATCAATTCAGCAGATGAATGAAGAAGATCTTGAGTCCCAACAAGATGAAATATTGGCACTTCAGAGCATATATGATAGTAAAGAATTCAGAACAAACTATGAAAATCAGGGTATTTTCAATGCCAATGTTCAACCAGCTCTTGATTTAGTGGAACTGATAATTGAAGATGACTCTCACATACCCAATTGTCTTACGCATCTTTAAACTCACTTCTCAATTTAAACCATTTCTCAATTTAAACCACTTCTCAATTTAAACACACTTCTCAATTTAAACTCACTTCTCAATTTAAACACACTTCTCAATTTAAACCCACTTCTCAATTTAAACCCACTTCTCAATTTAAACACACTTCTCAATTTAAACCCACTTCTCAATTTAAACTTTTATTTCGTCACTTCTCAATTTAAACTTTTATTTCGCCACTCTTTCCTTAGCTCTCTTATCTTTTTAGATTACACAAACCTTTATTTCAACTTTTTATAACGGTTTTTTCAATCATGTACGATATGGCTTATCTAAGATAATTTTTATCCGTTAAAGTTGTGACGTTTTTACCCGTTTTTCTAGAACTTTCCTAACGTCTATGCTATTCAGAGCTTAACACGTACATATTATTTACCACGTGATAAGGTTTACCGGTAACACTTTAGCTGTGCCCATATTTAACGGTTATGTCGAGTATTTTAGGGTACTTTTCTGGTTCTCCTCCACAGAATTCGGATAATAAAAGGACCTTAGATGATGTAAGTGCCAGTAGTTCACCTTCTGACAAGGATACCAAACGTCCAAATTTAAATGTTTCAGGCTCTCCAATTAAGTCCGAAGAGCAGTCGATGGTAACGCTAATAGAAAATCTATTTGTTAATTTTTCTAACCAAACTGTTGCCAGACTGGATGCAATCTCCAATAAACTAGAAAGCTTCGATTCTAGATTAAATTCAATCTCGTTAAAACTTGATTCGTATGATACCCGAATGTCTTGTATCGAGGAGAGAGCGGGGTCCCATCAGCTCGAAACCACAGATTTGTCAGACCGTGTCGTTGCCTTGGAAAACTTAAATGTTGAGCTTGAGGCGAAAATAGAAACTCTCTCAGGGTCAAACTCAGCTAACTTAGAGTCAGGATGGGAGCCAGTAGGTTCTCCTGAGACCAAAATAGCCTTACTTGGTGATTCTAATTCGGGGGGGGAAAATCAAATTCGGACAGGGAAAAGGGACCTTAGGGGCCGCTTTACCTGGATCCGATACCTTTGTAGCCAAGGTCGAGGATTTACCAGAGCCGGAAACATATAATGGCATTTCTGATCTTATTTTAGCAGTAGGCACTAACAACTTAAAAGTAGATTCTTGTATCCCGGAAGATTTGGTCAAATCTACTTTCACCTACATAAGCAAAGTCAGAAAAGCACATCCTTCGTGCCACATCTTTTGTCCCGGGGTTCTCCCATCTACCTCCACTGTAATCAATACCAGAATCACAAAGTACAACTTTTATTTGAACGATATGTGCCAACATTTACCAAATGCATCATACGTAGATATGAAAACGTTCCAAAGCAACAACGGCAAGCTGCTACCGAAATTCTCAGTAGGAAATTCGGACTCTTTTCATCTTAACGAATCCGGCTTGAAGGTTTATTTTAGCCGACTTAAATTTTCCCTTAGGGCCAGACATGGCCTCCCTAATATCAAAAGGGGTCAACGTAGGCCAAACGATCCTCTAGCAAGCTCTGGTAACCATTCGTAACTGTTATAATATAGCCTATTTCTCTATTTATTTATTAGTTGATAAACTTTTAGTATATCACAGCACTCTAGCGTGTGTTCACTGTATTGTATTGTATTATCTCGTACGATTTTCGAGAGACCCCTTCAAGTTTTAACACTTAACTCACGCATAGAAATTATGCAGCGTGTGCCTTTTCTTCAAGTAGTGGTTCACGGGTTCCGTGGGGTGGGAGCTACGTGGTAGGGCTTAAGGGCTCTTCTTCAACTTCTTATCTGTTATTCAGAGTGCGTATCTCCTCATATTATTGTATCCGCTAGTTTTTATAATATTGTATCCGTCAGCCTGATTCTATTGAATTTATTATTGATTGACTTGCTCCGTGCAGTCGTTTTCCAGTTAAGGTAACTTAGTATTTATAAAATTATCCCCTCTCATCATAACACCTGTATAATACCGACGTCGAGAGACCAGTTTTTTGTCCACGTGAGTTACCTCTTTATCACCATCAATTTCACCTATTTATTATGTTTTATAGGTATTTTAAAAGGGTCTGTTTGACTCGTACTGATTTTTTGTACAGTGCATTATTCATTATTCAAAAGTTTAAAAAAATCTTTATAAAGGCTATGCCAACAAACATACAAAAAAAAACTCTTGCTCGGTGTATAACCGGTATCTATAAACATTATGATATAGTTGCTATCATTCTCATTTTGTTCTAGATTTTCTGATCTTCTATCTGCTACAGTTTCGGGTAAACTGTCACAACTTCTCCTTGCGACGCGTTCACTCATGTTTCCTAGATACAGTGTGTTTCTCACCTTGCTACCTCGTCACTTCGATTATTGGTTCTACTATTATTCCAATAATAACTGTTATAATAAGGGCGGGGCCAGTGTAGGTTGTAGTACAAACAGGCTGTATTATTGTAGAAATTATTTTTCTACGATCGTTTTCCGTGTTTCTATGTCGCGTGTGCATGTTTTTTGTGTTATTTCCATTGTATATACTCATTTTTTCACGACACCATCACCTTCATTTCTGGGGTTTAATTCAGGGGGGGTAAAAAGCTACACTAAGGAAGGGCGGGGCCATTTTCAGATTAACAATGACTCCGCAAAATAACAGCAATAGTGGGTTGGCATGCCCAAAAATCGGTTCTTTTAACTGCAATGGTATGGGTAACCCGATTAAACGTAATCTTGTTTTAAACTGGCTTAAAAATAAACCTGAGCAAATCATTTGTCTCCAAGAAACACACTCAACTCCTCAAGTTGAGAGAGACTGGAAACATTCTTGGGATGGGGATATAATCTTTAACCATGGCACTTCAAACTCCACCGGTATTGCCTTCCTTGTTAAAGCTGATGCTCCGAATCTCCATATTATTAACCAGCGTAGCATCAGCCAAGGTCGTGCGACCCTTGTCGAGTTAGAATACGACTCTCTCAAACTGTGTTTAGTGAATGTCTACTGCCCCAATAATGACGATGTTTCATTTCTCGAAAACGTATTTCTAGAATCACTCAGTCGTGCACGAGATGATCATATAATATTTGTGGGAGACTGGAACACGGTTCTGAACAACATGTTGGACAAACAGGGGGGGTCTACCACCCATGCAAATAGTCGCTGCCAGAATTTTCTCAATGATTCCATTAACGACTATGGGTTTAGTGATATTTTCCGTCTTAACAGAGGTGCTGAGGCACGGGTTTTTACTCATTTTAACAAAAAGTACAAAACTCAGTCTAGATTAGATTTTTTCTTGATCCAAGATAGTCTGGTCAATCTACCTGTATGTGATACAGAAATAAGCCATGGCTATAAATCTGATCACAGCTACATCTCGCTATCCCTCCAGGGCTCTACTATTGCACACGGAAAAGGATATTGGAAAATTAACAACTCTCACCTCCTAGATCAAAATTTTATTAACGAAATAAAGAAAATCATTCATAATACAAAAGAAGATAGCTTTGATTCTTACAGGGGTCTTTGGGACGTTATAAAAATCAAAATAAAACAGTTTGGAATGACCTTTGGTAAAAAGAAAAAAAAAGAAATCACATTGAAAAAAGAAAAGTTAAAAAAAGATATTGAAGACTGTAAAAACGATTCGAATCTAGTAAACTGTACGATACTACAGAAGAAATTATTTGAAGCAGAGTTGGATTTAAATCATATTATAGATCAGGAGGTGAGAGGTGCAATTACCAGATCACGTGTGAAATGGACAGAGGAGGGGGAGCGCTCGACTAAATACTTTTTTGGACTTGAAAAATCAAACGGCAAGAAAAAATGTATTAGTAAATTGATAGACAACGACGGAAATGAACTAACGGACCAGGATAACATCTCTAGTCACGTGGTTAACTTTTATCAGGATCTGTATAACTCAACTAACCCATCTCCCACTGAGATAAATAATTATGTAACCAGCATCGAGCTTGAGCAAATCCCACAGGAAATTACTGAAACTCTGGAGGGACCTATTTCGTTACACGAAATGGATGCTATTGTGAACAATTTAACAAACAATAAATCCCCAGGTTGGGACGGGTTATCTGCTGAATTTTATAAAACCTTTTGGTTGGATATCAGGCAGATCATTTACGACTGCTATCTAGAATCTATTGACAGTGGATGCCTGTCGCCTTCGCAGAGAATAGGTATTCTTACTCTTATTCCCAAGCCTAAAAGCCCAGTGGAACTTAACTACATAAAAAATTGGAGACCTATTACTCTGCTTAACATTGACTATAAAATCTTCACACATATAGCTAAGAATAGGATTATGAAAGCTATCCCCAGCATAATCAGCAAAACCCAGTCAGGCTTTCAAGCAGGCAGGAGTACAGCAGATAATCTTATTCTCATGTCAATGGTTCTGGAATCATTTAACAACGACTCGGAACAAGAGGGTCTCCTTTTACAGATTGACTTTGAAAAATGTTTTGACTCGGTAGAACATAACTTTGTCTTCAGTACGCTTGAAAAATTAGGTTTCAGTGATTATATTATTAAGTTGATTAAAGTGGCTTTTCAAGCGTGCTTTAGCTACGCAAATATTAATGGGTTTTTAAGCGCACCTATTTATCTCCTCAGAGGTCTTCATCAGGGTAGCCCACTCTCTCCTATTCTATTTCTACTTGTGGCTCAAACTTTCTCGAATAAACTTCAGATCAACCCTAATATCAGGGGTATTAACATATCTGGTGTGGAAATTCTACAGAGTCTCTTTGCAGACGACACTGATCTGTTTCTGAAAGCTTCAATAGAGAGTGTAGAGGCAGTTATGGTAGAACTCAGAACGTTTGCTCAGTGCTCGGGGTGTAAAGCTAACATCGACAAAACTAGATGTATTCCTTTAGGTCGTGCTCGCCTTAATACAACTCTTCTAGCGTCCCTTCAAATGGACTACGGCGATGATTTTATTACAAATAACTTTACGGCTTTGGGTATAGTTTATAGGAATGATGGCTCACTTATGGATATAGTCAACAGTAATTATAATGATAAATTGATTAAGGTTCGGTCTTGGATTAACAGGTGGAACAAGAGGGATCTGACGGTAATGGGTAAATGTACAGTTATCAAAACTCTCCTCTTTTCCCAATTAACATACCTGGTTCCTCCTCTCCCCAGACCAGATGCTTCCTTTATCAGAACTTTTGACACGATTATATTCCATTTTCTTTGGGGTTGCAAACGGGATAAAATAAAACGTGAAATCATAACCCGAAACAAGGAACATGGAGGCCTGGGACTATTTTATTTATCCGATTTTATTATAGGTCTTAAAACTAGTCTTATTTCAAAGCTACTAAATGATTCCTTTCACCACACTTGGAAAGATATTATGATAATGCAACTGAAATTTCCCGAGCATATCACCATCTCTGTAGAAAACGGTCTCGCAAATATCAACTGTAATTTTACACAGGACGTACTTGATTGCTACACTGAGTGGAAGATTAGTTCGGCTAATGCAGCCTTGGGTTCTATTGATCACTGTGTGTGGTCCAACCCAGCAATAACTGACATCGGGTCCAAACTTTGGAACAATCATCTTATTGATAAGGGAATATTTTACATCTCAGATTTCCTTTCTATAGATCAAAGTACAGTCCTTAACTACGATATGTTCATGAACAAGTGGGAGCTGTCTCCGAATACGATTTCCAAAATTGATTACTGTAACATTATCATGGGGATACGGAGATATAACTGTCCCACGATTAACTCAAGGAATATCGAATTTGTTGACCCAAATATAAAACTTCGATTTTTACATTCTGCAACTGGGCAGGTGAAGGGAAGCAAAATTCGGGATAAAATGTACGATTCTATTTGTCCAAACGAGCTGTCTCCTTTACGTCAATGGGTTGTTGACTTGAACAGCCATTCCATCGATTGGGCAGTCGTTCTAAGCAACCTGTTTTTCTTAGTATCTAAAAACTTTAAGTTGATTCAATTTCAATACAAACTCTTAATGAGGATCACAACGTGTAGATACATGAGACATAATATGAAAATTGTTACAGATACTCCCATGTGTAGCCTGTGTAACACATACTTAGAAACAATTCCTCACATTTACCTCCATTGTATTCACACAAATAGCTTCATCACATTACTTGAAGACTTTATTAAAAGGAAAATCGATAGTAATTACGAAGATCCCACTAAAATTAATTTTATAGTCTGTAATCACACTTCACAAATTATAAATTATTTTAATATCGTTGCCAAATGGTACATTAGCAAAAAATTTCAGGCAGGAAACTTGCCGATCTGGCAGGGGTATATCAAACTTCTTAAGCTATCACTTACAGGAGATAAAATAGGTCACAAAAGTTCTATTGTGTCGATCTTGGCCGATTAGGGCAATATGTCCACTCCATTTTTATTGCTGTCTATGTTATTTAATTTTTATCGGTTATTGTTACAATCTTGCAGTACTACTAGTAGCTGTGTTTTTGTAGTACATGCCCTGCTTCCTTCCTTTCCTAAATTCCTTACAGGCTCCTCCAGCCTCCTCTCTTAAACCCTTTTCTCTCACTTCATTTCACTCATTCACTTCATATTTTATTACCACAGTATCTGCCAAAACCAACATGGCCCAAGTGGAAGGGGGCCTTGACGTTGTTTCCCGCTTGGCCCTGCATCCCATGCTGACTGTCGGCCTCCACTCTAAAAAAACTTACCTTCAGTGAAGGCCGATGGTCGACAATTAGCGATGTAAGAGCTTGGCGGGAACAAATCCTGTCCTCCTTTTACACCTTCGGGACGACTTTCGCAAATGCGAGAGGAACGACCCGAGGAGGGCTCCATTGGTTTTAGTAGGTTGCATATTTAAATTAAAAAAAAAAAAAAAAAAAAAAAAAAAAAAAAGTGTACATATTATTGACATTTTCTTTACTTGTTTATTGTTCTCTGCTGATTGCATCACTATTATTGACATTTTCGTTGCTTGGTTATAATTGTGGTCTGCCAATTGCATCACTTGATTTAATTAAATGTATATTATATGCATTTAATTAATTATATATTATATTATATTACGGGTATCGGCCTTACAAAATGACACGAAAAAGGAGATGGCTCTGAAATGCACAAAAATGAGTTTTTTTCATGTTTTATTATCCAGATAGGTAGTTCAACAGGTATATTTTTCTTCCCGGGGGTTGATTTGATTGAAAAACCGTAAATTTTGCGATAAAAATTGTCATCTTTGAAATCTTCCAAAAAAACATGCCTTACAAAATGACAATTTCGTCACGGCTGTCATTTTTTAACAGCAGCCTATAGAAATTTGATTTCACCTAGGACAGTTAGATAAATATAATAGATTGAAGATTAGAATAGCTTTTACAGGAAAAAGGATGATTAAAAAAAGTTGGGCAATTTCGCGTGAGATAGTGCCTTACAAAATGACAACCCAAAACGGCATCACTTCAAATCCGATTTGGGAAAAAGTTTCATTATTCTTTCACGTGTCTTACTGTTAGATATATATGTTGTTTATATTATACCAGTTCTGTTTTTACCAGAATATATTAAAAAAGGAACATTTTTTATACTTTAAAAAAACTTTAAAAATGTCATTTTGTGAGGCGTAAAAACCATTTTTTGTTTTCATACTTGAACACAGTATTTGGTTATATTTGATATTTTCTTTGACTGGATAGATCACTTTTCAGTGTTAAGTTAACGTTTGACATGTTTTAGGAGTTGTTATTACTCTCTGCTTTCACAAAATAGAAGCTTTATTTCGTTGAATTTTGAAATCAGAGTTTGAAATCAAAGAGTTTGAAATCAATGTTTTGATATCAGAACTGCACTTTTTTAATGTTACTTGATTGTTAACTGTCAGATTATGATTATTTTTAACTCCTTCTTGTATTGACTGCTTCTGATCCATTTTAGATGATGAAAGTAATTCAATCTGAAACATTGTCATTTTGTAAGGCTTTTCGGTGTCATTTTGTGAGGCATTTTGATCAAAATTGATGATCAAACAAACACATTTAGGCTCATCATAAGCTTACTGGGTTTAAGAATACCAATAATTAGGCAAGGGGCATCCAATATAAATATGCCATCTTTGTATCATAAAATAAAACTGTCATTTTGTGAGGCATAACACTGTCATTTTGTGAGGCTAGGTCATTTTTTTGTCATTTCTTCTACCAAAGTCACTAAATCAGTTTTTTTATTTGACCAGAGTAGTCTTTGATTGACATAAGTCATGGTAGTACCTGGTTTTCTGGGGTTAAATTCTAAACTTTGGTCTCCATTCTGGGTAACAGTTAGGCGGGGCAATGACTGAACAGCAAAAACGTCCATATTTATGTAAGAAATATAGATTCTATGTCATTATCATTCCTTGGGAAGTGTTAATTAATGCTTTTTCTTTCATACAGTAAAAGGAATAGGGTTCAATGTATAGGGAACCTAAGCTACAGCATGGTCTATGTGGGCTGTCATTTTGTGAGGCCTGTCATTTTGTAAGGCCGATACCCGTATATTATATAATTATTATATTTAATATTCTATCGTTTGACAATTTTTATATTCATTGTTGAGCATATGAATTGTTCACTAATTTCCGCTGCCTGTGTCACTTGATTCGATTGAATGTATCATTTTCTTTCAATCTTAAGCTTATTTCTGGTACTTTCTACTTTAATGGTACTTTCTCGTTTCTCTTTCAATCTTTATCATGTATTTGTAACATTAATAATTTTTCATGGATGTATATTTATTACTAATCAATTCAGCAGATGAATGAAGAAGATCTTGAGTCCCAACAAGATGAAATATTGGCACTTCAGAGCATATATGATAGTAAAGAATTCAGAACAAACAATGAAAATCAGGGTATTTTCAATGCCAATGTTCAACCAGCTCTTGATTCAGTGGAACTGATAATTCAAGATGACTCTCACATACCCAATTGTCTTACGCATCTTTGTACGAAAGCAGACAATACAATTGTCTATAATGTCAAGCATCTTCCTCCTATTGTATTGAAATTTGAGTATCCTCCGGGTTATCCATCTTCAGCATTTCCAAAGCTATCTCTTTCTTGTATCTGGTTGCCCGATAATATGTTGCAACAAGTCAAAGAACACCTAATATCCGATTGGGAGGATACTAAAGATGTTATTTTGTTTTCTTGGACTTCATTTCTTGTGAATGACATTTGGGACTATCTTCAACTTCCCAACAAATTAGTTTGTCCTGAATTTATTTCAGAAGATATAATTGGGCAATTATGCGTATTTGACTATGAAAAGAGATTGTCAGTGTTCAGCCAGTCTCCTCATAAATGTAATGTATGTTTTGATGAATACAAAGGATCTCTTTGTATGCAATTTTTACCTTGTGATCACGTCTTCTGCAAAGTATGCATGAAAAGCTATTTTGAGGTATTGATCAACTCTGGAGATGTAAACCAGTTGCTTTGCCCTAATGACAAATGTGATTCTTTAGCGCTTCCTACTCAAGTTAAGGAACTTGTTGAAAGTGACTTGTACGAGAAATATGAACGATTTTTATTGCAGAGGACTCTTGACCAAATGTCAGATGTTGTAAGATGTCCCAGGAAGTTTTGTCAAAATTCTGTCTTGAAAGATGTTGACTCGAATATGGCTCAGTGTAACAGTTGTAATTTCATCTTTTGTGTGTTGTGTGATAAAACATGGCATGGAGAACATACCCCGTGTGAAATTCGTAGCTCAAAATACATTGAAATGTATGATAAATGGAAGGCAGCCAATGAGGCTGGGCAGGAAGCAATGTATAAAATGTACGGAAGAGCGAATGTTTTAAGGATTGTTGCAGACATAGATTCAGCCGATTGGCTGAAAACCAACACAAAACCATGTCCTTCTTGTAATACTCCATTACTCTTAGGGATGGGCTGTAATAAGATAAAGTGCTCTGTGTGCAGCAACTATATGTGCTGGCTCTGTGGACTGAGAATTCAACCTAATGATCCCTATTCTCATTTTCGACCTGGTGGACCTTGTGAAAACAGATTGTTTGAGAATACAGACACTGGAGTCGAGGATGACTGGATTTTCAACGATGATAATATTGATAATGGTGTGCAATTTCTTGAAAATGGAGATGATGACTGGATTGAAATTGTTTTTCAGGACTGATCTTATTTCTCACCTCAGACATCAGGGAAATTTAAATAAGTCTTGCAACCTTAGATTAAAGAATGCATTGCAATATTCAATAATTTCTCCAACCTATACTGGGAATACCTTTCTTTTGTTGTTGGGTTAATTAATTGAAATTAATTGAACAGCCTTTAATTATTATATACAGGACTTGTGGGCAGGTACAGTTTTACAAATTAGGTATTTATGAACTAATTATAAGAATTTTTTGTGAAGTTGGTATCTTCTCTAATCCCATCTAGTGTGTAATTAATGAATGGGGGAAGTTAAACTTTCCTGCTAGGGGGATATGGAACAATTTAAGTTAGGGTACCTTATAACTAATATGACTATTCATTTATATGAACTCGTTTAGATAAAATAATGTTTGTTAAGTGATAGAATGAGGTTACTGTAAATAACGGGAATGTAATCTGTTTAGAAAACGTATAATAATTAGTAGTGTTTTTATGATGTAGTTTTTGATGATTTTATGAAAGTTTTTTTACAATGAAGTGTTTTATTTGCATTCGTCATTCAAAATTCTTTTAAAAGTATGTTTTACTGACTCTTATTCACTGCAACTGTAAGGATTTATGAAAATTCAGTGTTGACTAATTATTCTTTTCCAAACTTTACGGCTTTCAATAGGTTATTATCCTCCCTTATATTATATTAGGGCCTGATATAATAGTATAGGCAATTCATAACAAATTTGAAATTTATCCCTTTTCAATTCAATCAATCTTAGGGTAGCCTATCACATTATGAGCCTATCACATAGTATCACAAGCATCTCAAAAGTATAAGATGTTATAAGAAATCATTAGTACTGAATGTTAATTAATTTAATGTTCTATAACTTATTCAGAGTGAAATTACAATTTTCATCCAATCTAATTCCCAGGATAAAGAATCGGTAAGATCTAAACAGACTTTTCAGCAGCATGGGTAAAGAGAGAATTTCGATGGAAAAAGCTAATACATCATCAAGCAGTCAGAGTCAATTTGGCCCAGCTCTTCCACCCTCAATGAATCAGTCAAATACTACTCAACCTTCTGCAAGAGAATCGTGGATGCAAGATTCTGATTCATTAGATTTTCTGGGATCTAATACTTATGATAAGAAGGAAGCTAAAAATAAAAAAGAGAAAACACCTGAATATGACTATTCGGCACCTGGCCTTCATGTGATAAAAAAGTCGACTCTAAAGAACAATAGACTGTTTTCAAGTCATAAGGAGAGCTCTTCGATTGATGACTCGAAAAGCCAGCTTCATAAAATGAAAGCAAGATTTAAGAACAACAATATCAATGATCACTCCAGTGATAAAAGACCCAAAGGAAATTCTTCTCATTTTAGAGCACCTACTGAAAGAAATTACTCACATCAAAATCGGAAAAGAGTCTCAAGATCAAGATCAAAAAGTCCTCGAAAATCTGCCTCTTCTCGAAATGAGGCTAGAGGACCTCGCCGGAGATCTGGATCTAGCAGTCCACGCAAAGAAAAAAAGCAGAGATCTCGATCAAAAAGTCCGGAAATAAAGTATAGAAAAAATTCAGTGTCCAAAAGTGATAACAAAAAAGACAGACAAAGATCTCGATCAAAAAGTCCGGAAATAAAGTATAGAAAAGATTCAGTGTCCAGAAGTGATAACAGAGAAGACAGACAAAGGTGTAGATCGAAAAGTCCCAAGTTAGACAGAAAAGAGGATTCCGGTATTGGTCATAAAGAAATAGATATGACTAAGGGCAGTGAAAAAGAGGCTTCAGCAAGTACAACTGATTCTTCGAATGTCAAATCATCAGAGGAAAAAATAATTACCAATGATGACTTGAACAAGCTTTCAGCTAGGATTCTAAAAGCGGAAATCTCGGGTAATGCTGAAAAGGTTACAAAGTTAAACACAAAGTTAGAAGGAATGAAAAAGCTTATGAAAACGCAGTCATCAAGTAAACCCTCTGTCAGAGAAGAAGTAGTTGTTCTAACGAAAACAGATTCTAAAGGCAATGCTCGTCCTGTTGAACTTGACAGTAATCAACTCACTGATAGGGGAAAGAAACGAAGGAAGGAGAAGATAGTAAAAACTCATGATGATTCCGGCGAGAGAGACAAATATTTCCCGGATGACAAAACGAAAGATTTACTGGATCTTCTGCAAGAAGAAAAATCCATTAACAAAATAGGACAAGATCAGCTTTTCATGAAATATGCCGGCAAACTTTCAAAGATGTCATCTGATAGACAAAACTGGACTATTGATGATATGTTTGAATCCAATATAGCCAAGGAAAAGTCAACTGCAACTAAAGATGCTGACCGAATGAAATCTCAGAGCCAAAAGGAGCATAAACGGCTGGAATCATGTCATATGTGCCTTGAGAAATGTTCTAAGGATTCAATTGTATTTATTGGAAAAACATTGTACATCAGAGTGCCGATATACAAATCACTTGCAACATATCAATGTCAAATTGTACCAGTCAATCATATTATTGCATCAGTAAACGGAGATGAAGATTTTTGGGAGGAGCTCAGAACTGTTAAATCATCAATTTCTAAGAAATTCGCCTCAAAGAATTTGGATGCCGTCTTCCTCGAAAGTGCCCAAAGATTAGGGCAGAGACGTCACATCTTTATTGACTGTGTTCCAGTTCCTATAGAGGATGGTACTTTGTTGCCAGCTTACTTTAAGAAAGCTATTCTAGACTGTGACGTGGAGTGGGCTCAGAACAAGAAGCTTGTAGACACACGACACAAATCATTGAGGAAATCTGTTCCTCAGGGTCTACCTTATTTCAGTGTTGAGTTTGGGACTGATGGTGGTTTTGCTCATGTTATCGAGGAAGAGAGTCTGTTTAAAAGATATTTTGGGCTAGAAGTTGTGGGTGGAGTTATAGATTGTGATGTTAATATTTGGAGGAATCCTGCCAAGGAGACCTCTGAGGGTTTAAAGTACAAGAAAAAGGTGTTTGAGAAGTTGTCTATTGAGTTTGAGTGATGTTTGATTTCAAGCATCTGGACTTCTGACGTGGTTTAACTAATTGATAATTTTATTGTTTTATAGCAGTACTATTTGACGAACACATTACAAAATTATTGAGGACATCTAATCAATGTTATATTATTGTCTAAAATTTTTGCATCAGCCCAAATATTGTTCCCAATACCTGCTGTGTTTTTTCTTTCCTAAATTCGAAATTTAAGCTCTAGAGATTTCTGCCAAAAATTCATTAGATTCCTGACCACGAGTCGATTTTATTTTCGTGAAATCGTATCAGGTAAAAGAATTTTTCAGTATATGACTTCACTATGCTTGTTATTGAATCACTTTGTTTACCTGTACGTCCTACCTACGTCCTACATGTTTTGTTTGTTAAATTAAAAACAATTACAGGTACAGCATGGAAGTTGAGCTTTTAAGCGAGGGGCTGTTCTTCGGAACAACAAAGTTCAAGAAGTACAGAGTCTGTTCAACTGGACTAAGTGTAACTATTCTTGAACATGGCGGTCCTATTATGAGCGCTAATATAGCTTTAAAGACTCTTACTTGTGATGACGATGGCTTGCCTCATACTTTAGAGCACTTGGTCTTCATGGGCTCATCTAGTTATCCTAAAGGATTTTTGGACTTTGCTGCAAACCGCTGTTTATCGAACGGGACAAATGCATGGACAGATCAGGACCACACTGCCTACACCGTGAGTTGTGCTGGAAAAGAGGGGTTCCTAACTTTTCTGCCGCTCTTTCTTGACCACATCCTCTTCCCGCTTTTAACAGACGAAGGGTTTGTCACGGAGGTGTATCATGTTAATGGTGACGGACAGGATGGTGGAGTCGTTTACTGTGAAATGCAGACTTATGAGAATACTATTTGTATTGCAGATAGAGCATTTTCTCACTCAGTTTTTGGGAAGGGGAGTCCATATGGTGTTGAAACAGGTGGTATGCTACATGAATTGAGAACAAGCTGTAATGTTGAGAAGTGTAGAGAGTTTCATGGTCAGGCTTACAGGCCTGAAAATATGAATATCATCATTTGCGGTAAGATATCCATTGAGGAAGTAACAGCAGCTATCACTGAAGTTAACAATAAAATACTGAAAGACAAATCTACTAAACGTGTAAAGCAGACTGATTGTCAAGATTTGAAGGATAGAATCATTGCTGCTGAAACTCACAGTTTCTCGTCCATCAGCTTGGAAACTGCAGCTTTTCCATCGCCAGAGGATGAAGACCCGGGGTGTATGCTTTTTGGTTTTAAGAGTTTGCCCTTGAACCAAATAAAAGAAATATTGGCCGAAGACATAATCATAGAATATTTGATTAACACATCGGCATCGCCTCTGACCAAAGATTTGGTTCACATTCCGGAACCCTTTTGCTCGTCCTTGTCCTACCACAGATACTACTATCCAACTACTGTAGTTCAACTTAAACTAGAGGAAACTAACTCTGAAAAGCATACCGAGTTAAAAGAGGCTGTTCACTGTATTCTATTAAAAGTTAGGACTGGTTCTATTGATCTTGATAGGATTTACTCGTTGTTACGAAACAGACTTCTTGAAAGCAAGTTGGAAATCGAAGAAAACGATCTCGAAAGCCTGGTATCTTATGCAATTGTGGACAATTTGTATGAGCGGGAGTGTCCCAATTTGCTAGAGAACTACTCTAAGATGGATACTTACTATCATGAGCTTCTTGAAGGAAGTCAGGATTTCTGGCAGAGTGTTTTGAGCAGATTTATGGAATCACTTGTTACGTGTGTTGCTGCTCAGCCAAGTTCAGAGCTTTTGACTTCAATGGAAGAAGAGGACAGTGAGCGAATAGAAAAGCGAATCGATGAACTTGGTGAAGAAAAACTAAGTAATTACGGAGAAATCCTTGCTCAAGCTGAGGATTTCAATAACAACAGTATTTCACCTGAGTTATTTGCTGCTATCAAGAAACCTGATCTAAGTCAGTTTGATGCCTACGACATCAGTACCTCTTCAAGCCAGGCAGATTCATGTCCCAATTTATTCCTCCATAACATAAACAGTTCTTTCTACCGCTTCTATTCTATCATAGACACTGATAAGTTTTCCGATCAAGAGAAGTCATTAGTTCCACTGCTTCTTGAGGCTTGTTGTAACCTTCCTATTGCTGATGAGGCTGGTTTATCGATGAGTGGCGATGAGGTGACATCCAAGTGTGAGAAACTGTTTCTCAACCATGGTGTATCACTCGGTCTGTTCAAAGAACAAATTTGTCTGGAATTCACACTTTCAGAAGATAGTTTAGAGGAAGGTATTGTTCTTCTCCAGCAGCTCCTTTTCTATCAAGTTGTCGATAGCAAGAAGATCAGCGAGTATATACAAAACCTCAAGTCCACTGTCAAAGCAAGCAAACGATGTGGCTATGAAAGTGTGCAGTCTCTGGTATACCAACACCTTTATCCCTTCAGTACTTCAGCTAAAAGTAGCCTCTTTTGTCAGGAGCATTCCCTGGAGTCTGTTAGTCTAGAAGATGCCTGTTCCTCCCTACAAATCATGTTCAAAGAGCTTTTCACCTCCGATTGCTGCTTGCATATAATGAGCAACCCAGAATTGTTACATAAACTCGATCTGTCCGGAATCAGTTCGCTCTTCAAGCTAGACGGTCGCTCCTCTGATAAGCTCAACTTCGTTCAGCTTAAATCGTTCTTATGCAAAGATTTGACAAACCTGATGGAAGAGGATATGGTTGTTAAGGTACCAGGCGAGGAAACAAGTTACATGGCATCCATCGTTCCAATATCTCATTCTCTGTACGACCCTCTTGACATTAAGATGAGAGTTTTCAAGAATTGGTTTGGGAACCTTGATGGGGTTATTGGGAGAGAAATTCGTGGAAAAGGTCTTGCTTATCACTATTATACTAGATCTTCTGCAACGGATGGAAATCTCATGATGCAGCTCCAACAGTCAACAGATGTTTCGGCAGCTTTCTGCGCTGTCAAGGAGCTTACTGACAGCATTGTTTCGTCTGAAAATCCTACTGCAATTGTGGATGAGAACCAAGTTGAGCTGTCAAAGAGTTCTACTTTCTTCTCTCTTGTGGAGAAGGTAAAATCCGGTTACAGTGCAGCTCTTTGGGATCTGAACTTTATTCATGGAAAAACGGAGAGGAAACCTTTTCAAGAAATTTCCAGAGTTCTGGATGACATTTCTTGTCAAGATATTGTTGATCTTTGTAAAGAGTATCATTACAAGCTGTTTGCTAAGGGTGAATCTGTAAAGATTTATACTATTCCCCAAAATAAGGAGGTTTAATTTATTGACTTGAAATGTTTGGCGATTTCCGATTTGACAGATATATCATATCATTAATTATTTATTGTGCGTGGGAAATATTATATAATTAATTATGCAGCGTTAACTTTGCTGTTATTCTGCTTTTTTTTGTTGTGTCAACTTTTTTAATATGATTTAGATACTTTATTATGTTTATTAAGTTATTAGTTTTGAGCAAGATTTGCTTTGGAGTTATTTCTAAGGTTAGGTTAATCTTGATTTAAATGAGCTTTTAATTTGAATGGTTTATAGTGCTTGAAATGGGACATGCGTTGTTGTATTTGAATACATTTATATATATATACATTTAAGCATAATTTATTTGTGATTTATTTGTTAAGAGCTCAATATAATAATGACTCATGAGTAATAATTTCCAACTTCCATGATCAAGGATGATTTCAGAATCATTATCAAGTTATAAGTATGCTGATTTCAAAAACTTCCATTCTTCAAAACTTTTCTTATAAACCTAAACTTCGGCCATATTTGTTATTTGTCTTGAAATCGTTTCAATGTAAAACGTACCACACAATAGCTGGTGTATACTAACGACATCATTCAGGTAGCAATGTTAAAACAGCTAATCAGACCAGGTCTAGCATGTAGGAAACTCCACAGCCTCTCCACAGACCCAGCTCCCCTCGAGTTCCCCTCCCAGAACTACCCTCTCCAGACTACTCCAGCTAGAAACGTGCACTTTGTCCCTGTAGTTGTAGAGAATACAGGTGGGGGAGAGCGTGCGTATGATCTCTTCTCCAGGCTCCTTGCAGAGAGGATTATCTGTATAATGACACCAATAGATGACCACCTCGCTGGACTAGTTATAGGACAGTTGCTGCACCTCCAAGGTAGCAACAGCACTGAACCTATCAGTATGTACATCAACAGTCCTGGTGGGTTGGTCAGCGCTGGTCTGGCTATATACGACACCATGCAGTACGTTACAGCACCCATCAGCACATGGTGTATAGGACGCGCAATGAGCGCTGCATCTCTACTGTTGTGCGCGGGCGCACCCGGTATGAGGTACTCACTGCCACACTCCCGTATCATGGTACATCAGCCTTCTGGTGGCGCACAGGGACAAGCCTCCGACATCGCCATCCAAGCAGCTGAAATAATGTACTTACGTAACCAGCTGAATACCATCTATGTGAATCACACTGGGAAAACGTTAGAGGAGATAGAGAAGGCGATGGAGAGAGACACTTATATGTCGAGTGAGCAAGCTAAGGAATTTGGACTCATTGATCATGTGACCGTTCAGCCACCTGCTCTCAATTTAGATCAGTAACTATGGTAACTGTGGTAACTACAGATCAGGCTGATTCGTGGAACGTTTTGCTGGGTTAAATTATTTTTGTCGGAATTTGAGAATGCTGACTGTTGTCCATTAATCAGGTTCAGTATGAACTGATACAGGTACGTACCGTGACCCATCTCGCTAAGTCAGTTGTCTTGTTTCTTTGCCCGACACTATATTGATAATTGTACCTCACGTGTTGAAAAGTTGACCACAAACAACGCTTAAAATATAAACTTTGGCGTATTTTTTTATGAATTTGGTACTTTGAGATTTCTACGTATCTATCAGTTTTTTATTTGGTTCACTGCTGTCAAATAAATGTCATCAAACCTAATCATGAAATATTTTCTGTGAGTTTATCCTAATTTCATAATAATTACAGTAATATTACATAATTAAAATTAAATTATCCCAAGATCAAGAACAATACTAACATGATCAGTTTGATCACTCCAGTGATAAATGAATACTGTCTGATTGACCTTGTCTCTATTACTTAAATAGGGTTATGGTATGATAATGGAACTAACAATTATCCATGGGTTCGTGGTTTTCTTCAAATCGAGTCACCGAAGTTGATCCTCTAGCTCTACAGTGGTATAATACGATTACTATCACTATTAAGTATAATTGTAGTGTTTGACAATTCTGATTTAATAAAAATTTAATCAGTTTGGTAATATTTACCTCAAGTATATTATATTATACAATATAAATTACTGCATTGCAGTAATTTATATTGTATAATATAATATACAATATAAATTACTGCAATCACGTATGGAATTTTATGTAAGGATGGAATGCATCCACGACTAAAAGCAGTTTTCCCAGTCCGTGCTCAGCTGCTCGCCTAGCTTGTACTCAACTTGTTAAGACTAAGAATTGGTAATAATTAGCGTTTTAACTTGTACAGCAACAAAATGTATTCGCATGATTTAATTTGAAAACTGCTCTTAAATAAGCTACATTGCAGCACTTTTTCTTTTACATTTCGCTTTGCTGATCTTGATGGGATTATCACTATGATAATTACGTTATAGACTATAGTAGTAGTCAATCAGTGGTCAGATCCAGATTCCAAACATCCACGCTTCAGCAATATTCCAAATTGAAGCCTTTAACAACCGCATCAACAATCTACATAGCTGAATAAAAGTTGTTAAATTTTTGTCATTCATTAGTTCTAAAATCTCAAAGATTTGTTGAATTGTTCGTTGGTTACACATCTGCTTCATTTAATGAGGACTCATTGTTAAATAAATTCCATTGAGTTTATTTTATTTTGTACACAATTAAAAAAAACAAAATGCCAACAATCAGGCGGTCCTATCAGGAGTGTACTAGAACAGCTGCAGTGTTGTTATGGTTACATTACCGTTATATAAGGTGGTGTTGTTATGGTTACATGACCATATAAGGTAGTGACTTACTGACTTAAGTCGGCTTCTTGGTCCGAGCAACTACAATTCCTCGCCACACGTCGCGGTCAAGCATAACAGATCTTATCTCTTCAACACAGGAAAGGCTGGTGTCCTTCTTTAGCATGTCCAGAAACGTAAGGTGGGGCCTCCCCGGTCTCCTGTATCCATGCTGAGGGTCCCAGAACAGAAGTTGGTTTGCCAGAAGGTCGTCATGCCTGGCTACATGTCCAGCCAGTCTCATTCTTCTGGAGGCTATCATCGCTGATGGCTTGGGGATGTTGCCGTATAAATCACTGTTATTGATGATTTGTGGCCAACGTATGTTCAAGGCCATCCGGAGCATTCTAGTGTAGCATCCATTGATCCGCTTAGTCATGGATTGGCTTATCGTCCAAGCTTCAGAGCCGTACAGGAGTACGGGCTCAACCGTTGCTCGAAAGACACGGATCTTTAAGTCCCTGCGCATTCCAGACTTCCAGGTTGTCTTTAACTGATGACAGGCCCCCCATGCCTTTGCTTTCCTAACATCAAAGTCCTTCTCCGCACTCATTATTCTGCTTCCAAGGTAGACAAAGTCATCTACTTGCTCTATCTCCTGCCCACTTGCTGCTTTAATGACGGTAGAGTCAGACTCAGAGAGATTGACTCTGATGTACTTCGTCTTACTCTCGTTGAGGTGCAGTCCAACGGAGTTAGCAGCCAGCTCCACACTGAGGAGAAGATCTTGCGCTTGCTCTGCGGTGTCTGTTGTCAGTGCAAGATCGTCAGCAAAGTCGACATCTGTCATCTTAACTGCTGGGTATCTCCTGCTTCTTCTGGGGTTGACAGTGAAGCCCAGATCTTTGCCTCTAAGTGCTGTTGTCATCACATAGTCAATGACAATCACGAAGAGGTAGGGCGCCAGTGTATCTCCCTGCATAACTCCAGCAAGTATAAGGAAAGCTTCAGTCAGACCATCCTCCGTGATGACTCGTGCCATGGTGTCCTTGTACATAGCATCTATCAGCCTAACAATGGGCTCTGGTATCCCATATGCCAGGAGTATCTTCATCAATATACCCCTATGAATGCTATCAAAGGCCTTCTTAAAATCGATGAACAAGAGAAGGGCGGTCAGGTTTTTGTCTCTAGCCCCCTCCAAGATCCTCCTTAGACACAGAATGTGGCTGGTGGTACTGCGTCCCTCCCGAAATCCGTTTTGGTTGATCCTCAGGATTTTCTCCATCGCTGGTTTGATTCTGTTAAGGATCATACGATTCAGGGTCTTACTAACAATGGACGTAAGAGCGATTCCTCTGTAGTTATCCACTTTAGTTAGATTTCCTTTCTTTGGCACAGGCACGATGTTGAGTTGCCGCCATTGATCAGGGATTTTTCCATCAACCAGAGCGCTGTGAAGTGGTCCTTCCAGCTCTTCAATCTCCCCTCTGCACTACCTCCATCAACCAGGCTGCATGGCTTGCTTTTCCTGCCATTTATGTCATTAATAAGGTCCCAACTTTCCTTATTCTTGCACCTGTCAGCAGCATCCTCAGCCCGCCTGATCCGAGAAACAAGAGTCTCCTCCTCAACCTCTTTGTAGCTCACTGCAAGTGCATCCTTACACTCCTTAACTACCTCTCTACTCTCCTCTGTAGGATTCTCATGATATGCGTCTTTGGCCTGAAACAGAGTTCTCCTCCTCTCCGTTACCCTAGGATCTTGGGAGGGGTTGTTACGTTGTCTTCTTGGGATGGGCTTAAGCAACTTATGATTGGTTGCTTTCACGGCATCCATAAGCTTTCCGTACTGAATCGTGGGATCGTTCTGCTCACTAGATTCTTCCTCCAGTAGCATAGAGAATCTGTTTTTCACCTCCACAGAATACAAGGCTTGCAACTCCTTATTCTCTTTGAGCAGTCTGTAGTCATATCTTACTACTCTAGGTGCATTCTGGCACTTTCGCAGGCTGAGTTTGACTGAACTAACTACTAGACGGTGGTCCGACCCAAGAGAGTTAAAAGAATTGGAGACAACAGTGTCCTTGACTGAGTTACGCCACTTCTTCCTTATCAGGATGTAATCAATCTGACTCTTGCTCAGTGTTCCGTCAGAGAGATACGTCCATAGTTTACTGGGACGTTTCTGGAATCGGTGGTTAGTTGCCTCAAGGTTTCCCTCCAACAAAGTATCCCTGAGAAGCGATCCGTTTCTGTTGGATACTCGATGCCAGTACCAACCTGAATCCTCCTCATTCAATCTGCTAAGATGGGCGTTAAGATCACCAACAACCATTAGCAGATGATGGGCTGGCACCTCTCCTAATGCAGATCTTAGTCCCTCGTGAAAGTCCTCTGCCTCTTCATTTGATGCTGCTTCAGTGGGACTGTACACCGTTATTACTGTAAGCCGTGGGTTTCCATCAAAGGATATGAGAAAAATTCGCTTCCCAAACGATTTCATGAGACTCACTGCTTTGTAGGCCTGCTTGGTCAGCATAAACCCAACTCCACCAGTAGCAGCTTGTCGGGTGTTTCTCCAAGCAGGTGTGGTCACCAGGTGCACACCCTTCTCACTATATAGGTAGTGTTGCTATGGTTACATTACCAGGTCTCACAACAACAGGCCCCTTATTACAGGGAGAAAGTGTCAGAAGATAAGCCTGTATCAATATACACACACGACAAGTCCTACCTAGTAACTGTAGAACAAAGTGAGAGACACTACCAGCTACACAAGAGTAATAAGTTACAGGACGCTAAACTCTCCGCTGAACAACTCAAAGGGAAACTAAAGGATCTGCTACATCTCGTCCGTAAGTAACTGTCTGCCATAATATTCTACATTATATAATTGTAATTATGTATACAAGACGTTTACTGTACTTTATCTCAGGATTAACTTATGCTAGACTGTTATGATGGTATTTAGTCATTACTCTTTACGTCCACTTTTGTGATCCTTCCTTCTGTTCATGTTTTAATTTCTATTTCGAGCCATTTGCCGGAATTGCCCTGTCACATATTTAGTCATTGTTTCTTCAGTGTAGAATGTAGGTTGTTGTAATTACTCCTCATGAAGGATATGTGTTGTATTGATGCACAGGTTAATTTAGCCTACCTTAATAAGTTCATCATGTATTGTAACTTTGTTTTAAAACTTGAACCTTTGTTTTCGCTTTGTGTCTGTTTCTCTTAGTTATACCACCTGCAATTCATCAACTGTTACTTTAAGTAAGATCTAAAGCATGTGATCATGATCTAAAGCTTCTACTAAAAGCGTGCATCTTCTAGTTTTAGTTGACCACAGAGAGTTTAAACATTTTTATCAGCGATGATTTTATCTCTTAAAATATCGATTAGAAACCCTAGTAGATTGCACAGGGTAGGTCATCACTTTATGTAACATCCATGTTAGTGATGGTACTTTCACTTCCTTTTTATTGTATTATGGAGTAGTTTCAACAGAAAGTTTTGAGTTTCGGCTTTCCTAACCTTAAGTAAAGATTTGTTTGAGTAGGCACTTTGTCAAGTCGATACGAAAATAACGTTACATACTTTGCGTTTAGTCGGGATATGTTTTATACCATTTGCGGCCGTGTAAGTTGATTGTGTGGGAGTGAAACATAATATACAATGGGTTTAATATCGTGTTGTTACATACAGGCTACATGGAGAGGTCTCCTCATAGTCGTTGGAGTGGCCTGTATCACATACATCTCTCTTTTGTGTTCACAATGTTATAAATTCAATACAATTTTAAAGGTATTATTTGAAATTTTATTGTTAGTAGTATAGTGTTAACTGTCATTGGTGGGTCTTGTGCCTTGTTGCATTATACTCTGCAGAGTTTTGAGTTTTATAATATTTTAATCAGATGACTACTGCACTGTGCAATGAGCAATCCTTCCTGTTAATTGACATATTGTTGGATTTATTACAAAGTTGTGACATTTGCTGTTGATTTTCCATTGATACTACGTCATAGACATCTCATTTATCAATTACCTTAATCCCAACCAATATTCCCAAAGTTCGTTCCCAGTTCTCTGTATCGTTAACATATCCTCATAACACGTGACGTTGTCTTCTTTGTAAAGGAAACTGACGCACACATTATACAAACAATAACGTATACAAGGACTCAGCAAAGTGAAGAATCATTATACAAATACAATACGTAATTATCATTGACATTTCCACCACACGCGAACCTCTATTGATATTTGCAGTAAATTAATATCATCTGCCAAATAACACTTTTGATACATTTGACTACCAGACTGTGACGTCATTTCAAATTCGGGTATTGTGACATCATGTCATGTTAAGTAACATTATAGCATGAGTAACAGTGCCTGATCTGTTATCTCACTATTCGTTAAATAACGTGACGTCGCGTGATTAACCTGACGTGACGTCATGTTTTCATACTTGTGACATCAGTTCAACGTTTGGAAGTAATGTCACGTTATAGGCAATATAACATAAGTAACAGTACAATGGTACATGATCACATTGCAACTCACTTCAATTTGACCTTTTTAGAACGTAGTTAGTTTACACTTTTAGTCAGATTGCTGCGTTGCGAGAATGTTTTATTTGCGGTCTTTGACAGATCATTTTGCAACATTTTCCTTAGTTGTTATGTTTCCCGATTTAACTTTTCTCATTAACATTTAACATACTCCGTGGTCAATCTTCCAGCTCGTTAATTTTCATAACGTATCACATAGTTTTCTGGGTAGTTTTGGAGAATATAATAATTGGCTCAATTGTAACACATTTACGTTGCAATTATTTACACTAATATGAACTTGGCCAAGACGTCTATTAATTTTGGCTTATTCCTATCCGTATCGTAAAATGGAAATATCCTCTCTTTAAAGTAGCCGAATGTTGATTAAATAGCAAACAGTAACCTGGACCCTGCTGGTATAGTTAAAATGATCTATAATTCCAGTTCACACACGTATCAAATTACTAATCCTCCAGCAATATCGTGCACATTTGAGAGCACTTGTTATATACAGTGTCATACAGTGCCATCTGTTTTAAATCTCTCCCGTTCAATCTAAACTCTGTAGCTTCAACAAGCTACAATATGGTGACTACTGACTATCAGCTGATTATTTGCACCGGTAGTAACACGTCTGATCTAACTTAGCCATTTTTAGCTTATGTTGAATTTTGATTTTGTGTGTTAAGCTGTCAATTTGTTATCTCTACGTTTAAGTTTTGGTATTAAATTCGACCAGTAAGCCAGTACATCCTAGTTTTCACTGCCTCCGTTCATTCTTGAAATATTGTTATTTCTGATAATGCAGAAGTAAAAACACTATTTCTCTGCTGGTGTACTCTCAGCTTGTCGTTATTATTTCTCAATTTAATACATTGTACATTATATATTACATCGAACTGCTGCTTTATACATTGTGTATTGAACTGCTGCGGTACCACTTATCTTTCTCAATTTTAATTAGAAATAGGAAATCTGTAACATTTAATGAATCATTGGTACATTAACAGCCGCGGTACTGGTGGTTTACTTGTATAACTCGATCCCTCATGTCTCTGAGTACGATTGAAATTTTATGAAAATTACTTTTTCTATCAGATTAATTTTTCTACCACTACATCTTCATCCTTTACTAGATATATCAGAAAGTAGTGAGTTAGAGACCCTACTAGAACACAGTAAGAAGAACCCTTCCCACTCAGTCCTACAGTCAGTTTGTCACCTCAACATGTTCAACAAGTTCTCTGATGGTCTATCTGGACTCAAGACCTACGTTAACTCTCCCGCTCTAGGTCGCAATCAGGTTAGAGACACCTTTAGAGGGTTAGATTGAGGCTGAGGTTCAATTTCATGGAGACTGCAACAAATCTCATTGATGGGCCTATGGGACGACTTATTGCAACAAATCACACTAATACTATAGTGTACTGCTAGTATATTTATAATCACTAATTGTTATACATTGTACATTATTTAATCTAATCCCTCTGATCAGGTGCCTCTACATATAGCTGTGAAGAGTAACACTGCATTTGCTGTTAATCAGCTTCTCAATGCTGGTTAGTTCTTTGATCATATCATTGGAGTTCTTTTGGGGCTGTTTTTTTATTGCTGTGCTGGTTTGATTAAACATCAAAACGAAGTTGTTTATAAATTGATGACGTCATGATAGTTAACAGTATAATTTGGTACGGTTGATAATCACATCACAACTAATGTACTCTACGAAAAAAGAATACAAGAGGAACATAGTATCTCATTAAACTATATAAAAAATAAGTATAAATAATAAGGAAAAGGAACGGGAATGAAGCCAATACCAGAAGTGAAACCCCACCAAAGAATAATTGATCCTTAGGTAGACCTGGTGAAATAAAGTAACTGAACTGTAAGTTTAAGAAAAGACGGAAGGAATAAAGGAGAGAGGAAATAATGTTATGTGAACATCATCAGCAGATGACTTGGCACACCGGTTTCGGGGGTTTAATACCTGTACCGGTTTAATGTGCCAAGACCCCCTAGCAATCACTCGTCAGTGATCACCTGTTCACGTTAAATGTGATGTCAAGGATGTCGCTGACATCAAGTATACTGTATTTGTACAGAATACTAGGTCGGTCTTTCAGAAGCTTTCTGAATTTACTCTTCAGGAGTCTGTCATTATAACATCTTGAAAGAAGTGTCCTATAAAGGGTGTTGGTAGAACACAGAAAAGAATCAAGGTCAGAGATAATGGAAGAGTAACGAAGGACCTGACCGTAAAAAACATTATAACCAACAGAAGAGGAAATATTACTGTTAGGAAAGGTGTACATGACCACAGGAAAGTTGAAGTCATCAAGTTTGTTGTAAAGCTTGGTGGCGACGTGTCCGGAGTTATTCATCGAAATGTTGATGTCGAGATAGTTTACGGACTTATTGTCGTCACCACTCCTCTCCATAAGCAGGTCAGGTGGATAAATGGACCTGATTAGGTTAGAGAAATGCAAATAGTTCATGGTGTTGAGGTCGTCGACATATCTGCAGTTTCTTGAGAGGAGCTTAGCGAGACCGAACTTCTTTTCTTTGATTAGGCGTGTCATGTAGTTGAATTCACACTTCCCTAGCGAAAGATCAGCGAACTGGCTACTAGAATTCCCTCCCATGGGAATGCCTTTCGTTTGTCTTAAAATCTGATCCCCAAAACAAACAAAAGTGTTAAACAGAATAAATGTAATAGCTGTTTTGAGTTTATCAGCAGAAAAACATAAGTATCCGTTATATTCCTTTTTAGAGAAAAAATTGTTGTTCTTATACAGAGAAACACAAATAAATTTATTCGTATTACTAAAGAGGAGATCTATTAGCTCGAAAAGCAGTGACTGTAGTTGCCATAGGTTGATAAAAATCGCTTATTATTAAGAAACTGTTTACACCATTAAAATATTCAAAACCCCTAAAAGAAATCAAGTCATCCTAAAATGGTGATCAGTACAGATCAAGACAGCTAGAGTTAAAATTTGTTTCTCCAAGCAACTCTATCATCGGCTAATATCTTAAGCTTATTAAGATCATTCAAAGAGTTAAGTTTTAAACCTCTACGGGTCAAATCATTCACAATAATCTTGAACAAATTCTTACGATGCGCACCGACGCGCCCTTTACAGTTTGTTGTGACAGCAAACTTTAACGCTAATGCAGCGGGGGAGTCATCAGCACTACGCAAGATATGACCTAGGAGCTTCCACCTTGCTTTAGGGACACGATCTGATAGCTTAACTGAGTTACATCTTAGGTATAAGTTTGCATTGGATATTGTTCCATGAGGCCAATAAATGTTCAGTAATGATCTAAGGTGTTTTCTATGGCAAATGTCTAGTTTTTCTAGTGACTTTGCAGTAGGACACCAACTACTGCAATTGTACATGATGATTGATACAATTTGGGCTTCGTATACTGCTATCTTTCTGATAACGGAGATATTCTGGTGAGACCAGATCTTGGTGAACTTATAGAAGGCATTGTTCCCAGCAATGCATCGAGCAGCTATATCACTTTCACTACACAACAATGACCCAAGAATCTTACTCTTCCGCCAATCTTCATTTCCACGTAACATGGTATCATCACGACCAGGGATTGTTTCTCCAACAGGAGCGAGGAAAACATGGGTAAATTCTGTTTTCTCTGTGTTAATGAACAGGTTAAACTCCTTGAAGACTTCCTTAGCTATTGGTAGGATAGCTTCTAAGGATTCTTTTTCCACGTTCATGAAGTTACAATCATCTGAATACGCTGACTCCAGTGGCATACCTTCTTTTGAAATAGGGGGATTGGGTATGTGTGGGGGAGACTCTGCTAGTCGATGGCGTAGTTCTATAAGAGCTCCTGCTAGGACAAGAGTGAAGAGCTTGCCGGAGAGACTGTCACCTTGAAAGGACCCAAGAAGACTCTCGAATACAGCAGATAGTTCTCCTTCCACTCTGACCTTGAGCATGGTGTTGGTTAAGAGGAGTCTTACTAGCCTGAGGTCATCGTCTGTGCATCCAGCTTTGACAAGAAGGTCAAGTATAGTCTGGCGTTTGATTGTGTCAAATGCTCGAGACATATCTATGCCCATCTTGTGATACTGGAAGTGTTTACGCGTGACAACCGATATCAACATCCGCTCAGCCCACACTAGATCACCACAACTTCTACCATGTTTGTACCCCGCCTGCGTGCTACCAGTGAAAGCATCAACTTTGTCTTCAATTCTCTTCAGTACAATCATGGATAATATCTTACGAGCACCATTTGATAGACATAGAGGTCGTAGACTAGTGACAGGACCAGCTGGTTTGCGAGGTTTCGGTAAGGGGGTGATGATGGCTTCACCTATAACATCAGGAAATGAATTGGTCTCCAATGCGCTATTGATGATCTCGGCATATTTTGACCAGAATTTTGTACCAGCATTTTTCAACCACTCGTTGTAGACTTTATCTGGACCAGTGGCTTTGTTGTTCTTGAGAGATTGGGCGGCTTTCTTTACTTCATCACATGTGATGGGTATGTCTAGGCAGCGTCCATCCCCTATAAATGCTTGAAGTGGTTCATCCTCACACGTGAACTGCTTTTCGTAGTAGTCTCTGATCACTTGAGCTTTACCAGCATCTGTGGCAACAAAGTTACCTTCTTCATTGTGGACACTGATAGTAGATTTGGGCTTAGTGTCAGCTAGAGTACGCACAGCTTCAAACATCTGCCTTGTGTCATCTGTTGACATGATGGTTCGAGCGATGTCATCGGCACGTGTGTCAGCAAGGTTCTTGAGATGCTTACGGATGTCTTTCTGTAACCTGTTGATCCTTGTACGGACTTGAGTTCTGTCAGCAACTTGGTTGTTACAGTTAAGTGCAGCTTGCAGGGTTTGTCTCTCTTGTGTGATTGTAGGAAAGATTTTGTAGTAGGGGGCTAGTTTGATTTTACAAGCAACGAGTCTGTGGTCTGAGTTAGTAGCAAGACCGCCATATGCTCTACAATCTTGGAACATGAATCTGCTGCGTGTTCTGCACAGAATATAATCTAATTGTACCCATTCCAAAATTGCCCATATACTCTGTTACACCATACTGATAGTCCAAAGGAGATAAGGTTCCCAACTTACTGTTGAGATCACCACAAACAAACAATTCATGAGATGCAGGAACTGAAATAGCATGGGTGAGTTCTCTGTAGAACTTTCTTAGAAGGGCAGGGTTTCCTTCTGCTTTAGGATTAGTCGGGCCATAACCGTTAACAATTCTGATATTTTTAGGATGGGATGAGAGATTAGAAGGAATGACGACATTAAGATAGGAAACCCGGTCTGAGGTATACTGATAGTCTGTGACATAAGGTAGTAATCTAGGACTTATGATGAAACCTAGTCCACCATGTCGTCCTTGATTTTGCTCCATCATGATCAATTTGTAATTGTTTCTGAGATATCTAGTGGAATGATTTTTGACTTTTGTCTCTTGAACGCACAAGATATCAACACTATATTCAAAACAATCCGTTCCGAGTTCTTCCTGTTTCTCCGTCTTAGAGAGCCCTTTTGCATTCAGTGATGCTAGGCTCAGTAAGGAAGTAGAAGAAAACTTTGAACTCATAACTGTCTCTTTCTGCTTATTATATAATATATACGACCAACTAGATTTTTATTCGAAACGCGTCGAAAAAACAAAACTTCAAGATGAAATATGAATTGATCGATTTAGATCATAAAATGTAAACTCTTATTAAACTATAAAATTTTCACCAGAATGATAATTATATGCAATATCTAGTATCTACACTAAGCGACAAGAAATTGAGCAATATGAAATGTCTATATTTTATTTATAAGAGTTATAAGAGTTATAGCCTGCTAAGTTGAACTGAATACAGACCCGCTCAGTAACCCAGTTATTAACATCCCGTTTGAGCCAGAACCCTTTGATGCCCCCTGGGGCTTCTAAACCTACTCTATCAGGCACTGTGACCTTGGTCCCATCAGCTGTGGTCCCTGACAGTATAAAGTAATAAAACATGTCACGTGCTAGGAATGTGTTGTGGAAATGTATACCAGTCCCTTCATAGTCCTCATCTGCCTGGCACAGTTCGTACTTCTTGAACATAGGCATGCGAGCGTTTTCGTGTGAGCTCCTAATTATAATCCCGCATCTTCCCGTCTTATCACACTCTGCACCGATTGGTTGATTGAAAAAGAAAAGATGTTTATGAGTAGAACCAGCTGTTTCCTCTATACATGTTTCTTCTGGTATAAGAAGGCTGTCACTACCTGAACAGAAATCTTCATCTTCCTTGATGCAGTTCAGGATGCTTATAAGATTCGGCTTTTTATTATCACGTGAATAATAACTATCACACTCATGTCAGTTGAATGGATCAAAGCGGTAGTTATCATGTCCACATACTGATGAGACACTTTCTGTATGCGGGTTTTCTTTAAGCAATCTCTCAGTGCAGCAAGGAAGCTTTCTTTTTTGGTTTCTTGGAAAGGAAAACTTTTAATGTAATGACCTAAGAATTCGACTACTTCAAACATGGATTTCACTCTACCATTTTTGATTCCATTTATTATTTCATTAAGGTCCATGCAGTCTAAAATAAGCTGAGCGTTTTTCCAATTATCAAAAACCACATTTGACCGAGCTGTTTCCTTACATTGTTTCAATATGAAGCTATGATCTTCTGGCTTTAGTTCTCTCAAGCTAAATAGACATTCAAACAGCTGATCGATGTGGAACTTATGTTGAGACCAACAAAGTTGCAGATCAAGGTTTTGTAGCAGAAACTTCATGTTTTCATCAAGTGATTCTTGGAAGACAATATTGTATAACATATTGTTCACGAAAACCAATTGGTTGCTTCCACTCATCTTCAACAACAAATCTAATTGAACAGTATCCAGCTTATTGACTCCCTTTACAAGATTTTCCAATTCTTCCTTAATATACCAAGATACAAACTCGCTTACATCCTTCACGGCTAATTTCGAAATCAATGTTTCTATCATACCCTTTTCTTGGTCTTCCCATTTTCGAAGGACATTTAAAGACACTCCTCAAATGCAAACAAAATTTCCTTGAAACTGTGTTCCGTTTCTTTACTGTCGAATCTGGAGAAAAGCCAGTTTTCGACAACCTTCTTTTAGATGCTCAACCTCAAAGACGACTGCCATCTTATGCAATTCCCTGAACTGTGATTCTTGTAGCTCGTTTACTTGGCTATCATCAAGATTGCGCTAAAAACAGTCCTACCACATCGGGGTCAAAGTCATCCATTTCAATCTCATAGAAATGGAGCTCATCTATGAGATGTCGGAGGAATTTACTGTTCTTTGTTAACCTTTCTTTTTCAACACATAGTGGGTCACCGTCTTTTATCTTTATCACAATTAGTCTCTCCTCCATGATGCTGCAATATATAGTCAGAAACTCAAACTTGGGTGGATTACGCAATAAGTAAAAAAGGTGTATGGAAGCGTTTAATAAATGCGATGAGACAATGTCGACTGCATACATTATCTAACAACATAATCAAACGGTGAGATGAACATTTTTCAGATAAAGAGTACGCTAGGAAGAAAACATGGCTTATCGTTATTATATCATCTACTTCTTGTTCTGAAGGGGATGTGAAATGTAATACGAGATTGTTACTCAATACTGCAAATTTATGATTTACTAGATGACATGTGGAATTATTGTGCTAGTTTTATTAAATTTTTATGTAACAGAAAGTTAAATATGAGTTACCTAATGACGCAATTGTACGGTATTACGTGTGATTAATCATGCAACAAGAACAACAGCGATAATAAAGTATCCGTATGCAGTTTAATTGATGTCAGCAGCAGCTTCATTCTTTAATAATGCTGTATCATTACCATCAGCCATGTTATAGAATATTGCACCTGTTATTACACCTGCATGCAAAACGTCCTTTATTGGTGGTTACGCTAGGTTCTAGGTTTTGTAAGCTAATGTGCTGATGTCTTACAATTTTAATCACTTCATCAGGTATTCGAGAAATTACTTTTGGTCCATTTGTATATCTCCGATAGGACGCTACATGCAATATTACAATAATAATGACATTAAATTTAAAATGTCTTTGTAAAAATGTCTTTGTAATAAAAGTTAAAACTAAAATCTAATTAATCACAATGCGTGCACCCTTGGAAGTCGAGCTTGCTCGTTGATTATTGATTCGAAAACATCGTAATATGTCAATGGTGCATTCACAGTACTACACAACGATAATACGTCTTCCCATCAGAAATATATATATTATAACCGGTACTGAACGAACATACGTTCTGTTATCCAGTTGTTAACATATGGAAACCATCTTCTGGATGAGTTGGCCGCCCTCTCAGGGACTTTGTCTCGAGCTCCCCTACCTTTACTACCAGACACTACGGTGTAGTAAAACATGTCATGTGCAGACACTGAATCATGAATGTGTACATCAGTCCCCTCATAGTCCTTACTTTCCGTACACAATTCATCTTGCCAGAAGTTGTTGGGTCCACTTGAACTCCCTCTCACTATAAAGCCACAATTACCCGGTATTGTACAGTCAGGAACAGCAGGGTGCTTGAAATAGAAGAGGTGTTTGTAAGCAGAACCAGCTGCCTCTACTACACATCTTTCTTCCGGTATCAGAATGTTGTCAGTTCCGCGTGAACACAGGTTAGAATCTCCCTTAATAAAGTTCAGGAGGTTTATAGCCAAATCCGCTTGCCATAAAGGTGAACGGTTCAAAGCAGCAGATATCATCCTCACATATTGAACTGAAACTTTCCTCGTGTTGGAATTCTTGCAACTGTTTTTGAGTGCTGCTTTCAACTCCAAAACGTCCTCTTCCTTCGGAAGCTTTTTTATTGAATAGCATGCGTGTAGTATCAGCTCAATAACTTCGTACATGGATGTCACATCCCTAATGTTAATAACATCTGCTATGCTCTGCAATGTTGCACAATTTGAAGACAGCAGATGATGTTTCCATCCATTGAAGAGGACAGTCTTCTGTAAAGACACTAAGTTGATTCTTGCAGTTCCTGAGGTTGTTGGAGTGTTCGAGGTTGTGGTACTCTCTGTTATTATTAGTGGCTTTATAAGCATAAGGCTGTCTGTGGCTGTTGGATTTGATACGCTTAACAATGACTCAACGCCTCCAACACTTTTAGAACGAGCCAATCTAGTCGCGTCCATAAACAGTTTTGATATCAAACGTAAATCCTCATTCATCACGGCTTTCAGGCCATGTAACTTATCAAACAACTGATCGTAGAGGTCCTGGTTCTGGCTACAACAAAGTGGTAAATCAATATTTTGTAGGAGAAACTTCATGTTCTGGTCAAGTGATTCCTTGTTTTCAAGATTGAACAACATGGCTTCTAAGAAAACCGTTGTGTTATTTCCATTAATTAATCTTAACATAAAATCCAACTGCACAGTATCCAGCTTATCCATGTCTTCAAGATACTTTGATACAAACTCGCTAACATCCTTCAGGGCTAATTTTGAGATTAATGTTCCTATCATCTCTTTTTCTTCGTCTTTCCATTTTCTATGGACATAGAGGCACTCCTCGATTGCGAACAAGCTTTTCCCGTTATTTAAACTTTGTTCTGTTTCTTCAGTGTCCAGTCTACTAAAAAGCCAGTTTCGACAACCTTCTTTTAGCCACTCAACCTCAAAGACGACTGCCATCTTATGCAATTCCCTGAACTGTGATTCTTGTAGCTCTTTTACTTGGTTATCATCAAGATTTGCTAAAAACAGTCCTACCACATCGGGGTCAAAGTCATCCATTTCAATCTCATAGAAATGAAGCTCATCTATGAGATGTCGGAGGAATTTACTGTTCTTTGTTAACCTTTCTTTTTCAACACATAGTGGGTCACCGTCTTTTATTTTGACCACAATTAGTTTCTCCTCCATAGTGCTGTAATAATAAATTCAGGATACAGCCAGAAAATCAAAGTTAGGTCAGGAAGGGAGTAAAGCAATTTATTTAATTTGTTGTTGTTGTGTTTCATTTTTTGTTGAAAGATAATCCGAGGAAAATAAAGCAACTAATGGAGAAATTAAGCAACTGGTGATATTAAAATTGTCAGTGAACAATAAGAAATAGCAGATGCAGTAATTCAGAAGAATAATGCTGTCAATGACTGAACTTAGACTTAATTTCTAGACCACCTGCACCATGCGTGAGTTGACTGAGTGGGTAAGGCCAAAGTAGAGCTTATTTTTAAACGAAAAAGAACTTAAGCTAAAATTCTACATGAAATTCTGCAAAATACAAATAAATACATTGCCTCTTACAGAAATGTATTAATATTCAAAGAAAGAGTGCGCGCAGGAAGGGAAATATTACAAAAATAAATAACGTTATTATGTTATCTTGTTTCACAGCAACGAATATATCTTATGTTCAGGAGAAGGGGGGGGGGGGGGACCGGCCGAGGGCAATTTAGCCAGGTAATTAGGGTTTCTCACTTTCTCATGATGGAAATAGGCTGGGGAAACCTTTCCCGCCATCATCGGGAAGTTGGGAAATATAACAAATTTTTATGGTGGAAAAATGTTGGAAAATTTTCCATTTTATAAATTACCAAAAGCGGTCACGGCTAACCTCCCCTATTCAAGGTGTACCCAGGTGCGTCTCCGAAACTGAAAACCTGGCTTCATCCCTGCCGCCATGATCCATATTATACTGAGTAACGTAATACTGGGACGTAATCTAAGAACTTAGAATTGTTATCCAAAGTAGTGGTTCCATTAAGTATTGACTATTGATTCTAAGTTAATCTCTGATTACAACTCCTGTTGTGACTGTATTGAGAGTGATGATCGTGTCACATGTCACATGTCACATGTCACATGTCATTATTGTAGCATAATTATCGAATTAGAATAATTTATTGTTACAGGAGTGACGTGCCCTTGAAATTTGCATCTTTCTGGATATATATAAGATAAGCCGTGGAGAACGCGAATCCTATCCCAATTGTATTATTCGATGGTTTTGTAATCAGGAATCGACCGGGATTCCCGGTACCGGGAATCCCGGTCCCGGTCAGGCCTGAAATCATGTCCCGGTCGATTCCTGTTTGTAATATTCAATGATATTTGAAATGAACACTGCTTTATGCCAGGTGGTGACCCGCTGGCAAAGGACGAGGCAGGCAATAACCCGGTACACGCTGCAGCCTTTAGCGGCTGCTACATTGCTCTTGAAGCTATCCTCGCTCAGTAAGTAGCTCTTCTCAGATATAACTTATAAAGACCTTTTGTTGGCACTGTAACTTATCCTGTAAAAATATGCACCCATGCAGTTACCAGAACAAATCGTCAAACAACAACGTAATTATTCAAAGTCTAATTTCAACTTTCATCTCAACTTTTAAAATTCTTGATAATTTGCAGCGAAACTGTTAATCGAAATGGAATAAAGGAGGACGTATTAGCCTCCACCAATAATGAGGGGGACACCCCTCTACACCTCGCCTGCAAGGTTCGTCTTTCTAAACTTGTTACTGATTATCTGATTTACAAATCATTGTAATTGACTTACGATTTCCCATCAACTACAATTTTTACGTAGCTTTGTTACGACCTAGGCATAGCTTGCTGATGAGTGATGACATTTTTCTCGAATAATTGTTCGTCGATATTGATCTCTTGAAAAAACATTGAAACACATAATGCTTGTTCGTCAGCTGTGAACTGCAACCTCAAACTGATTATCAATATTGCTGTTCAGTTAATTAGCTATTAAACAATTACCTTTCCAGTTAATTAGCTATAAACAATTACCTTTCCAGTTAATTAGCTATTAAACAATTAGCTGGTTAGTTATTAAACTGCGATATGTGAACTTCAGGGAACAAATGAATATTATTTGTTAATCAAAATACAGTCCCAAGTCGTCACCCAAAAGGTCAGATATATGTGTGAGATCAGTGTTTGCCAGGCTATGTATCCGCTGATGTTCCGGTTTGTCACGCTAGCCAATTAGCTCGCATGCTCAAGCTAGTGTTCATTAGTAGCTCGGCACCAATTAAGTGATTAATTACCTAATTGATTTTCTTTGTTTGCACCTCAGATAAAACCATCAGATGTTGCTATTGTTAAGGTAATCAAACGTGCGAGCCCACGCGAAAGCCCACGTGTGAGCCCAATGCCGCGCAGAAAAGTGTCCGAAGCAGCAAACAAACCGACAGACAAACAGACAAACGTACAAACTAACAGAATACTGTCCGAAGAACCTGACAAACAAACAAACAGTGGAACTAAGGAGGCTGTTACAGCTATACAAGCAACAGATCAGTCCGACAAACCAACCTCTACTACTACAGATAGGAACTATATTGTAACTAATTGATTAATTAATTAACTAATTGATTAATTATTAATAAACTAACTAACTAACTAACTAACTAACTAACTAACTAACTAACTAACTAACTAACTAACTAACTAACTAACTAACTAACTTACTAACTAACTAACTAACTAACTAACTAACTAACTAACTCACTAACTCACTAACTAACTAACTAACTAGCTTAAAACTAGCTAAAAACTAACTGAATAAATGAATAACTAGATAACCAATTAACTAACTAAAAACTAACTAATTAAATGAATAACTAAATAACCAATTAAAACTGAAAAACTAACTAACTAAACATTTAATTGACTAACTAATTTACTAACTTACTAACTTACATTATAATAATTGTGACTATGTATAAACTAAAGGCTTGCTTTGTAAAGCTTGTTTGTTCTTAATCGCTAAGCTATGCAATCTGCTATGATATTGTGGTGTGATTAATTTTGATTTGCCCTGTACAGTATGTTAGTGCCGCCTGATGATCTTCAATCACTAACTCACTATAACCCCTGGGGCCTGATCCCCATTTTCCAGGCACCTCAAGTCAGCTGTATAGATCTCCTACTCGACCATGGAAGTAGATTTGATACCCCCAACCTAGAGGGGTACCGTCCCATCCAGAGCGCAGTGATGTCACAGCACGCAGACGTGCACGCAATAGACAAGTTGCTGGAACATGATCCTTCCCAAGTGGAGGTGACAGATGGTGAGGGTAACGGGTTACTCCACCACGCCAAGGGGCAGAAGGTCAGTTAATTTACAGTAACTATATAATTATAGCGGAGCTCTGTTTCTACAGATGCAAAATCTTCAATAACTAATTAAACTAAGTTTATCTACTCGCTGACTCATCTATTAACTCACATTAAATCATGATATTATCCTAAAAAGCTAAAAAGCAAACTGTCTCCAGGTTATTCAGTGTTTAGTGCATCACGGAGTAGATACTACCAAGCTTAATAACAAAGGTTAGTGATAAGGGACTCTCCTTCAGGAAAACCTATAAATTCTCAATTTATATATAGTATAATAAAGGAGCCGTGAGACATATTATGTAAATATATAATATTCCTATGTCGAAAATATAAAATGTTTGCACAATTTCATTTATGAGTTGTTGTATTAATAATTCCCATGCATATGTCAAGTCATTATACATTTTTGTTCTATATAATACATTGGACTTTGACGGTCGACGTTGTGATGTAAACAGTGGTACCAACCAATTTCAGATTTGTATTTCTTGCACTAATTGATTGGCGTGGTTAAAATATATACTCAGAAATGATTACGAATCTTCAATACGATTCTAGATTGATTGTGCTGGTTCATTGAGCATATTATTTAGTGTTGCTGTTATAGTGTAATCGTCGCGGATCACCTCTTTTATTCAAGTAACATTATTGTAACGAGTAACCATGTCCAGTGGTAGCGTTGACCAGGTCAAGTTTGAAGGTATTTTATTTGGTCTTTTCAAGTTTCCGGTCAATTATTAATTGTAAAATAAAAATAATAATTCGTATTGATTTGATGTTTAAAATTTCATCAAAGCTCAATCTGTTTAACATTATACGATCTGACCTACTAATCTCACACATATTAGGCATCATGTAGCCGGTGGGCCCGACATGATACGACATATCTCGACACGTCGGGGTTTGTCGGGATATGTCGGGGTTTGTCGGGGTTTGTCGGGGTTTGTCAGGGTTTGTCGGGATTCGTTAATAATGGATGAAAAGTGATTAGAAGTTGCCTAAAGAAGATTGATCAATGGCAGTCACGGGCTGTTGATTTTTTAATTTTTTTAAATTTTTATTTATTTATTTATTTAACAAATTAAAAAAAAAAAAAAAATAATAAACAGAGGCCTCATGTAGCCGGTGGGCCCGACATGATACGACATATCTCGACACGTCGGGGTTTGTCAGGGTTTGTCGGGGTTTGTCGAGCCTGGAGGCTACATGATGCCTCATATTTTACTTCGGACATTCCAACAGCTACATTGTTACACAAGTGTAACCAGCCAATTACAGGAAGCCGAAGGATTCAATTATACATTAGGCCAGTGACGGTTAAGGTAGTGTGTACCATACTTTCTTCGCCCGAAACTTTGCTGCAATGGGCAGCTCCTCATTTAACCCTCACACCCGATTTTTCGAGTATTCGGCTGAGTAGAACGGGGGGCTGCATAGATCGCTCAGGATCCTTAGCTGAACGTCGACGACGCTCACTCTCTGATACTAGATTGAGAGTTCCCCAAAAAAACGCCTCCTAAGATGGTCCAACACCGTCCTTACAAAAAGCGATCTTCTAAAATAGCAGAAATTAAAGTGGAGAATCAATGTTAAAGGAATAAACATGAATATATAGATTAGTGTTATTCGTTTACATAACATGTTACCATTTGCTGCTAACCCTACTATCACACAGGTCAGACAGCTCTACACAAAGTAGTATCTGAGGAGGGTTCAACTAACCCTACTATCACACAGGTCAGACAGCTCTACACAAAGTAGTATCTGAGGAGGGTTCAACTAACCCACTACTATCACACAGGTCAGACAGCTCTACACAAAGTAGTATCTGAGGAGGGTTCAACTAACCCACTATTATCACACAGGTCAGACAGCTCTACACAAAGTAGTATCTGAGGAGGGTTCAACTAACCCTACTATCACACAGGTCAGACAGCTCTACACAAAGTAGTATCTGAGGAGGGTTCAACTAACCCACTACTATCACACAGGTCAGACAGCTCTACACAAAGTAGTATCTGAGGAGGGTTCAACTAACCCACTATTATCACACAGGTCAGACAGCTCTACACAAAGTAGTATCTGAGGAGGGTTCAACTAACCCACTATTATCACACAGGTCAGACAGCTCTACACAAAGTAGTATCTGAGGAGGGTTCAACTAACCCACTATTATCACACAGGTCAGACAGCTCTACACAAAGTAGTATCTGAGGAGGGTTCAACTAACCCACTATTATCACACAGGTCAGACAGCTCTACACAAAGTAGTATCTGAGGAGGGTTCAACTAACCCACTCGACCAGCTAACTGCTCTGCTTCTTAACGGGGTTCCTGTGGATCTCCTGGATAGTAACGGAGATACAGCTCTTCATTGTCTCGCTAGACTGCCTGCTAAGAAGGGGGTGAGAACTTTATGAACTCTATTATTAAGTCTCAGTTGAAAACAGGGTTATGACGTTCTTTGGGGATGGCTTTTCGTTATATCTTTACAGATCATTAATGACTAATTAAGTTAATTGTAAATATTTCTGATAATACCGCTTCACAGAGTAACAGAGAGTTCATGATAAAAGCTCTGGTGATTCTAGGAGCGGACCTAAACCAACGTAACAAGAGTGGCATGACAGTGTATGATGTGGCTAAGAAAGAGAGCTGCAGGAGCACTATGACAGTGCTAGCTGCGGTGGGGGCTGATGATAGGAAGTACCTGGACTGTAAACAGTACCCTCCTATCAGCCAGGAATGTTAGGAATGTTCTTTCTACTTTCATAATAATATTAATGTCTTCTCTGTCAGACGGACTGGGAAAATTTCAATTTTCAAAACAAGCTAACTTAATTTCTGTGGTCTTCTAACGTATGTTGGCCTGATTGGAATGCCTATCTGGGAATAAATATTTTACTATCTATATTGATATATCATACTATATTATTGTTGTAAACCTGTGTAAGTACTGCACTGTAGGACTGGTACCTTGTAAGAAGCAAGTTTGCTATCTTAAGAGTTTTGGATTACATGTTTTATTTTGCACACTGTACCCTGATACAATATTAATTACAGTGCTAGACGAAGCCAGCAGTGACAAAGTGCCACGTAAGCGCGTTAACTGGGATAAGAACAACGCGGCAGTGCTCGCACTGGACGGTGGAGGTATCAGGGGCCTAGTCCTGGTTCAGATGTTACTTGACTTGGAGCGCAGGTCTAATCTGCAGATAACACAGCTGTTTGACTGGATCGGTGGAACCAGTACTGGTTCTATGTTGACTTTGGGAATGATATACGCTGACATGGGACTGAGGGATGTGCAGCAACTTTACTTTAGTCTCAAGGACGAGATATTTCAAGGTAAGATCCAGTTCTGTATTCAGTACTATATAATAATATGTTGATCTATTTGTCCTATTCTACTCTTTATTCTACTCTCTTATTATATTCTTCACTGAAAGTGCCATAACATTAAGGTTGCCTGTTTTATTATATTGCCGGTTACTCAGCCCAACTACCCAGGATCCAGACCGTACAACACGGAGATACTGGAGAACTTTATGAAGACTAAGTTTAGTGAGAGTGGGGTCATGTCCTCACGTCAGTTTCCACGTTGCGTCGTCCCAGCAACCATCGCAGATTGCCGGCCCTGCAAACTGCACGTGTTTAAAAACTACGGTTTCCGTTCCGAGAACGATCTCCCTCCTCCTCATCTTCAGAAGATCTGGGAGGCGACGCGCGGCAGCAGCGCTGCACCTACCTACTTCACACCACACAAGCGCTTCGTAGACGGTGGTCTGATGGCTAACAACCCTACTATCGCTATTCTTACTGAGATGCATGAGTGTAACCAGGACCCTGGAAAACTGGGTTACTCTGAGGTTGGCAAGTTTCCAAGTTTATTTTCCGTCTTTTCTTCTTTGTAACCTATGTACTTCTCTAAGCGATTTTAACTGTGTGATTTATTGCTTACCCTTCTAGGAGCCTCACTTGAAGTTCAATGTAAGTTATTATAGCCGTGTGTGAGGTGGTTTGTGCTGCAGTTTCAGTGTTTTACCGGGTTTGATATATGTTAGCTGATTAGGATGACCATCTTAAGGGGTCTCATTTATATTAAGATATTCGGAGACTAGGTTCATAGAATTTTAAAAAATTGTACAACTAAGAAAATTTCCAATTTTCACAGTATCAAGCCAAATTACACAAATTGCGTACTATACTACTTAATTCTACATTAGAAAATATTGCAATAACATAAACACCGGTTATGATACTGGTAAATTAATAATTAGCTTCACTCATAAACATTTCAGCATACAGAGGCGGTGAGTTTAATGCTATGTTTAGTTTGTAGTCACAGTAGAAGAAAAGCATGTTTTAACAAAAGTGTATAGTTCATTTTAAGTGCCGTTATTTCTCTAAAACCATTCTTAAATATCTCTTTTAAGTCATTATACAGTCCGACTACAGGAAATAGTAGCTGGTAACCATGGTAACATTATACAGTTCGACTTAGAAATAGCATTCATATTAGTTCTAGCACACTTCATCGACCCAACAACAGTCTTAGTAAAAATGTGGGAATGAGATAGGAAGCTTAATCTTGTAAGCACTAACATTCTTTATACTTACTTGTAAAAAGTCACTCAGTGTATTTAAACTTATAAAATACTCTTGAGGAAGGAGTAGATTACTTCAGTAAAAGCTGTGCTAAACGTTCTTACTTTTGCTGCTAATATTGATAACTTATTGTTTTATCGTTATCTTCATAAACTACTTTTATCCTTTATTATTTACTTTTTAACAGCACTACAATACATAAACAAAGGTAAGTTAATTCTAGAATTCTGCCAATGACTTACGACTATGTTACAACACTTGGTTACAAATACTAGCCCTCGTATAAACACTAATTACGGTAAAACCCCAATATACCACGGCCATTTCATTTCCTTCAAATAGGGCTTTTAACATATATAATGATGTAAACATTCAAACCCCGAATTTACTGCAAACCCCGCTTTTTCCTTTCTCCCAAACTCCGCGGTAATTGGGGTATTAGTGTAACTCATATTATTCCTACACACTATAATATACAGTATACAGTATACATAGTACTTGAAGTAGTGTAGACTGTGTTACTAGCCTTGTGAGATGTAGCACTCATGGTAACCATGGTAACACTCATGGTAACCATTATAGTAACACTCATGGTAACCATAGTAACACTCATGATAACCATGGTAACACTCATGGTAACCATTATAGTAACACTCATGGTAACCATAGTAACACTCAGGCTGCTGCACCGGTAACGTTTACAGAAGGTTTAATGAGAGCAGTGGTGGGGGAAGATTTCAGTAAAAGAGAACAGGACAATAACGGGGTGGGCTACATTGAGAGTAGGCCTGTGCAACAAGGAAGTGAGTTTCTGTTATTTGTAACAATTTACTGGTTATTAGTTTATTATCTTTATTATCATTAATATTATGTGATTTATTTACTTATTCTGCTACAAGTTCTGCTTAATAGTCTACTCTTTATTGTGGTTTACACCAGTATTCTGCGATATACAACTGTGTAAATACTACAAGATACCAGATCTAAATGAACTTGCCCATAATTATGATCCTCTCAGGAGTCATTTCAGTGCTTTTAACAGATGGTTTTGTATTTTCTATTCTGTTTACAGTACTCAAGACTCAAGAGGATGTTGTAGAGCGAGCCCCCCGAGTTTGCGACCCCTTCACCTGTGAGGGGTCGTATCCTCCTGGCTTGCCAGGGGAGACATTTTAATTCAATGCTATGCTATGTATAGTATGTTGTATTCTCAGCGCGATATTGTAGAAGCACTGACTATAATCGTAAGTCATCTACTGAAGTTGGCAGCATCCGAGAAGCCCAATCTTCGATACTGCCCCAAAGTGTTTCTATTCTGGGTTTTGTTAAGATTAGTCAGCACTTTGTTCAGGGACTTTGTTTCTAGGCGGGGTACTAATTCAAGAAGGCGACTAAGGGGGGGGGGGGGGGGGGGGGGTATATTATACCTTACCTGATTGTAGGTAAAGTTCTTGTACATGTTTACTCATTATTTGTTATGTTGGTCTGTTTCAGTCTTTATAATGCTTACTCTCTCCCCACAGGTGAACTAGTAAAGAACGTAGAACAGGAACCTACTAAACCCTATGTAGTAGTCTCATTTGGTACAGGGCTAGCTCCTGAAGTGTTTGTGAAGGACTATAACGTCTCAAAGGTAGAGGGTCCGCTTGGTGCTGGTCGCTTCCTGCTCGGAGTTAAAGAGTTTGCTGAAACACTCGTGGAACAGGTGGGAGAGTCACTTGGCTCCCTGCCAAGTTACTTTATTACAAGTTATTTACACACGCACATACTCTGAAATAAACTTGCTATCTAGATCAATCTTGAACTATATAATTACTGTAACCAGTAATTGTTCCTCAATCCCTGTGTAACAACACGTAATTAGTGTATAATTTATGCATAACAAGTACATAATTAGTGTATTATTAGCGTATGATCAGTGTATAACTTAAATGTATAATATATGACGAGTATATATATTTTCAGTGCGCAGCAACTGATGGGGCAGTGGTAATGGGCGCTAAAGCGTGGTGTGAGAGCATTGGGTCCTACTACTTCAGACTGCAACCACAGATGTCGTACAACATGAAGATGGATGAAACTGATAACAAGAACCTTGTGGAATGTCTGTGGGATGTGCAGTGCTTTATCTACCAACATAAGGATCAGTTTGCTAAGGTAATTCAATTATTTTATATTTATCAATTTAAAGTCTACATTAGCGGAGAGTTTGTTGATTGACAAAAAAAGCAAGTTGACAAAATTAGTGAAGTGTGTTTATACTTCAATAATATTAATAGTTGGTTTTTATAAAACTTGACCCTTCTCTTTTTTCAGATGACAGATTTACTGATGTCCGCTTTCTGAGGCCCCAGAAAATTAGAAACTTAGAAAGAATTTTTGGAATGTGCATATTTCTCATTTTTGCTAAATTTTGTTGTTGACTCATCTTAGCCTATTATTTTGTTTAGAACTTAAGAAAATCCTATTAGAAGATTATTGCATAGGATTCTCTACGTTTTGACTCTGTTTACACACAGTATGATTATTTAAGTTAATTTATTCTCATAGTATGGTGTGGGATGGTCTTCAGCGTGGTTAGTTGCTGTATCAATATTCGTTAACTTTGTATTGTTAGAACTTAAAATTATTAATTATATTCTGTATGGAATTGGTTAGTGCGGTTTCGAATATTTACTTTCGATAAGTATAAAATAAGAAATATTTGTTTGTGTAATATAACCAGAATTTGTTGCTGGATCTCTTAATTGATGTAATTTGATCATTTCGACTGTTGAATGTCTAAGGCCTCGTGATTATTTTGAATCTTTGTCAACTTTATTTCGAATGTAGAATCGTTTTGTGTTTACTGTTATAATATATTGTTAATATTCGTGGTCAGAATTTGTTGATTGATCGATTTTTCAGTAACGTTCACAATGAAACAATTTCAATTCTATTAATGTTATGAAAGTATTAAAAGAAACACAATCACAACACTTGCAAGAGATACTAAAATGAACAAAACAGATGAGCCTAGTTAGTAGGATATTTACCTGCAACACTCAATGACCATATAATCGAACTAGCCCAAAATCTCATCTGAACACCTGATTATGTAACATAGGAGATATTTTATAAACTTATCAAGTACGCCATTAATTGGCTGATTTTATACCACCTAAATGTATATTCTCTTTGATATTTGTATCTTGTTCTAGGAGCAAGGAGGGTTAATTTTTGATAGCTGCAAAATTGGGATCCCACGAGCTACTGCATACAATATATTCCTCACATACTGCAGAACAATTTCACTATCAGGAGGGTGTCATATAACTGAAAAAGGGTTCGCTGGTTCGCAGCGTAACGTACTCCTCGGCCAGTGCACCAACTACCATACTATAGCTTTGTCATTACCCGTTTTACTTGTCTAATGAGACACATATGCCCAATTGCGCTGAACCAACTAGACCTCTGAATCGACATATTCTTGTTCCACGAAGCCTATCCTCCAGGACGTGCTTCGTTTATCGTGGCGAAACTGGCAATAGTTGTACTAGGATCTGAGAAAGGTCTTCCGTAAAAAGTGTTGGAACGCGCGCAATCTTAAATAATGCATTCTTTGCGCTATGTGGGTAGTAAAATTTAATTAAATTAATTATATTATTTTGCTTGAATAAATGATCATATCAGGTCTAACTACTACGGAGGACGTAGGTAGACCGTGCGTAAGGCCGGTCGTTCACATTACACATATTACGTAATCAAGTTTTGGACAATTTTTATTGTGAAAGACGTGAATGTAACCTAAACCTTACCTGGGGACCCCAGGCTATTATCATGTTCATAATAGAGATCCGGCGGAATGACAGGCTGACACGGCTGTTCAGAAGGGCGATTTCTGCGATTTTAATCAGATAGGATTACCCTAGGATTTATCCTAGCGCGTCCGAGATATCTCGGATTTTATTAATCCTTACGCCGATCCGGTTCCCCTAGGATACCCGATATCTCCGATGAATTCCTATCGCCGAGCGGCGATAGGATGTGTAAGTTACGAGAGGCGATAGGATTTGCTCTCGGACCCGATAGGAAATTAAAACCCTATCGGATCCGAGCGCTAATCCTAGCGCAGCGGAGATAGGATTTAACGATTCCGAGTGCCGATAGGATTTGCTCTCGGACCCGATAGGATACTCAATAATAATTGATCGAATTAAATGTTTTGAGGATAGACCGGTAAAATCTTTAAAAAAATTGTGTTTTTGCTACATATGTTCAGTGTATACCTCTATCGTGCACGCAAAGCGTGCACTCCCAACTCCGGCCAGCCGCCGCCGGCCACCGCGCATGATCAAAAGGGGTTGCAGCGTGTGTCAAGTGTGTTTCTAGAACAAAACGCACAGTTTTGCTAATACCATATAGTAGTTAAGTTTTTCCAAATTGTCCCACATTCAAACAACGATTTGGTGTCCCCTAAGATTGTGCCGAGTGCCCCCCGGCCCCCCGCACAGCGGGGTTGGCGGGGCCCTTCGTTACGCCACTGTTAACCTACAAAGACGCGTTGCCGACCTACTATCTGAATGAAATGCACCGGACGGCGGATAATGGGGGTATTTACAAATTCGGGCAGACCAATCACTTTTAATGTCAAATTTCTAGTAATCTTGTATCGAAAACTAAGGAATGCGACGGACAGTTTGATTGCATGGACCACTTCGCGTCGAAGAATGCAACGATCGATTTTCGAGACAGATCTTAGAGGGAAAGTGTCTCAAAACAATTTTGTTCTTAATAGGAGGCCTAGCCGTTCTTTTTAACCTGGTCATCAAGAACAGTGGAACTCTGAATCAGTGTAGAACATCTGTTGTTCAACAAATCCCTTGTTATCCTCATATCAACCGGAGACCTTTTGATAGGGTGCTATTTATTCGTTATAGCAATATATGACACAGTGATATTCGAACAAGACTACTGCATTTCTCAGATTAGTTGGGTAATTTAAGTTCCTTACAGTGCTCTATAATTATACTTATATGTGTTATCAGCACCATCGGATCCCAGCTGTCTCTATTTGCTATGACAAGTCTCAGCATCATCAGATTGAATGGAATAAGGTTCAGAGTCCCTGGAGAGATAAATCTGATCCATCCAAGTTGCTTTTGGAGTACTTTTAAATTAAATCGTTATAACTTCAACAGCTATCGTCGTCACGCCTGTAATTACTTGTATCACCCCCACGGTCGTTTCACTATATAGAGTTTCTACGATACAGGGGTTAGCCGCGCACTTGTGCGCGGCGGGTCATACAATGTACAACGTACAGTGATAACTAAATTTGAAGATTACTTTGCAAACGGAGCAAATTTTGCTGATGAGCTCAGATTATTCATAGGAACACAAAACAAGAAGGAAATCTTACCAGTTCTTGACGGATGTTACTCGTCTAAATTTCTTCGAAGTAGCGCGCGCCGCTTTCTTCTCGGGCCAGATCATTAACAATGGTCAAACCAGTTCTAGAAGCATACTACGGTCGGATGAAAGAAACAACTCTGAACTGGAAAAGTATCCTTGAGATGATCGGCAATATGTTCTCATGATCACACTGCGACAGTCACCAAACTAGGCTTCTACGGGAACGACGAAGTGTGCCTCTTCAAATACTTCGTTAACAAAGATGACCCACAGAGAAATTTTGTTTGGGGTACTCTTGCTCTGAATTTCACCTATTTCTTATTGATCGCTGTATCATACATTTTGATTGGCATAGTCTCCACGAACTCCTCCAAAGGTCTGGCCAATGGACGAGGCAATGATCAAATTGGTCAACGCAATCGCAAAATGAATAGAAAGATTGCAATCATTATCATAACTGATTTTCTTTGATGGATACCTTTCATTATCTTTTGTGTTCTGCACTTCTTGGGGGTTCTTGACGCAACTCCTTGGTACAGCATGTGATTCTACCTATTAATTTTGTGTTAAACCCACTGTTCTACGACGATGTTGTGACGGACTCACTTAGAGCACCAATACGCTACATTACCACCTTGATCAACAACTCGAACATCTTCCAGAATTTCGCTTCTATCCGATTCACTCAGCAAATAGGGGTCGAAGGAGGAATTAGAATCGTGTCGGCTGCTGTTGACGGTCAAGATACAGAAACACGTGAGGAAAAATCCGCTGATGAAGCAGAAAAAAGGGAAAATGCAGCGGAGAATACATCACGCCTGAAAAGAACAACTCCAGAATGAAAGAGGAGAGGCTTCATCGGAAGACAAACTAGCTGTGGAAGAATTTGAAGGAGGACGACCAAAAGCGACAGACCACGTTGTAGTTGAGAAACATCATCCGGGAAGAGAGTTTCAGGGGGAACAGTGATCTCATCAAAACAGTGAGACAGACGCTTGATTCTGAATCCGACAATATTTATATAAAGACTATGATGAAATATATAACGGCTATGATGAAATATTTTTCTTGAGACTGTTTGAGACATTACACATTTTCATTTGACGTATAAACGGTATTTCTTGATATTTCTTGATATTTCTTGGTATTTCTTGGTATTTCTTGGTATTTCTTGGTATTTCTTGGTATTTCTTGGTATTTCTTGGTATTTCTTGGCACTTCTTGGCATTTCTCGATATCTTTTGGTATTTCTTGGTATTTTTTGGTATTTTTTGGTATTTTTTGGTATTTCTAATTGATATTTTTTGGTAATTCTTGGTATTTCTTGGTATTTCTTGGTAATATCTATTGAAATGAATTTACTCGAACACTATTATATTTAAGATATTAAATTAAAACACAATTTTTATGGTAGCTTCTCAAATCCCCGATATAACAGTAGTCACTTACAGTTGCGAACCCCTTTCCGGGGTTTTACCGGGAAAATACTAATAGGCTAATTTCTTCAAAACATTAATCATCATTGTGGTAATCACATGGTTTTCTTTAAAACAACTTCAAAAATTATTAAAACTGGAAGGTAAGAACATAGAAAATAGCTATACATCACAATAAACAACAAAAACGGTAAATCGAAATAAAGTATGGAAGAACTTTAGCACTTCTTAATCTTTGCCGTCATTCTTTTCAAAAATAATAATTTAAAATGAATAAAACCATACACCGTCAATGAAGTAGTAGTTATAAAAACACAGCAGCTGGAACCCAAGCATGAAGTAAAATAGTATAAAGAATATTTGTCCCACGATAGCCATTTGGCATGCTGATATTCTTTCTTCTGCTTTTGCGATTTCTATTGCTGAGGATTGATAATAAATAAATAAGGTTTTTTTCTCATAAAATCTGGTTGTAGTTTTTTTAAACGATGCCATGTGGCATGGCAGATATACAAACGTTGTAAATTACAATTTGTAATTATAACTAAAATGTAACCTTATGTAATGAAGCGTATCTAAATTTCTTAATTAAAAGGATCAGAGCAGACCAATAAACTGAAAATAAAAACATAAATACTGTACTAATTTAGAATAAAATCTCAAAGACTTTGATCTACGTTTTATATTAACAAGGATCAGCAAACCTTCAAATTTAGCAAAGTATTTCTCCATGTATGGTGAAGGAAAGAACCTGTCTGCCGCCTCCGCTTCAAATATATCGTGGACACTGCTTTCCGACATGAGGACGCTTCAAAATAGAAGAGTAGATCTTGTGAAGACAGAAATACTAGACAGAGTCTTCAAAATAGAAGAGTAGATCTTGTGAAGACAGAAATACTAGACAAAGTCTTCAAAATAGAAAAGTAGATCTTGTGAAGACAGAAATACTAGACAAAGTCTTCAAAATAGCAGAGTATATTTTGTGAAGACAGAAATACTAGACAAATTATTTCAAAATATCAGAGTATATTTTGTGAAGACAGAAATACTGAAACTACGAAAACAATGATCTTGTGAGACAGAACTACTGGGCAAAGTCTCAATTTGGGAGTACTATTCGAGGGAAATAAAACGTCGGGGATATTTAGGAAAGAATTAGCAATGAGAGTGGTTCTTACTGTAGAAGAGCACTAATCTATGCGAGTAACTAAGTCGGATAAGGCTGGTTAATTCAGTAAGCGAGCGAGCGTACTGTTTATACAGTACAACAGGGCCGGGTACGCCGTTATGCTAGGGTATTAGAGAGAAAATTGTTCGTTTGGATTTATTTCAGGCTT